ACCCTCCAAGTTCTTAGTGAAATGACTTTAATAAAAGTAAAATCCTCCTTTACAACATCCCAACCCAAATTAATATGAATATTAATTAATTAGTAAAAAATAATAAAGCTTAATTGGTAACAAAATTTTATATGAAAATTAACTAATATCTAATGAATTGTTACCACAGATTAAAGTCAATATGTATATAAAAATGAAAAATGGTTACCAAATTATGAGAACAATTAAATTATTATAATTATAAAAATAATGGATACAAATTCTACGTAACAAATGAGAAAATTCGTTTGAAATTCTGCGTAATTTAATAAACAAATAATAATTTATTAATTATTATTTACACCAATTTATACTATTAATAAAAGTAAAATTATCATCTTCAACATTCCCGCCCAAATGAATATGAATATTAATTAATTGGTAAAAAAAAAATTAATAAAGCTTAATTGGTAACAAAATTTTATATGAAAATTAACTAATATCTAATGAATTTTTATCACACATTGAAGTCAATGTGTACTTAAAAATGGATTTTGTTTATAATAATTTATTAATTATTATTTACACCAATCTATATTTATACTATTAATAAAAGTAAAATCTTCAATTAAAATGTCTTTCGCCCTTCTAATACGAGATTGCCATTCAAGTTCTAACGAAAACAATTCACGTTGATGCTCGCATATGCCATGACTATCAACAAAAGTCAGGGTCAAACTCTAACTCGCGTTGAGTTATTACTAAAACAACTCGTCTTTAATCACAGTTTATTGTATGTGAATTTTTCCCGAGTCATCCATCCTGATGGTCTGATGGTTTTAACTCTAGACGAGAATGGATAAAATTCCGTTACTACTACCAATGTTGTCTACAAAGAGATTTTCAATAATGTATAATTCAAGTTATTGATATTATGGTTTTTTATATACAAAGATGACAAAATTGCTATATATCTACATAGAAAATATATCTTCCGTATAAATAATTTATATAACTGAGTTGCTAGACAACGAGCTAATTAGTCCAATTAATACAAATTATAAACACTGATATATAAAATCTCTAAAGTTGCAACACCGAATGCGTATATCTACACGTTAACTATTAATTGGGCAATTATTTACTCGAATTCAAGTATTGATAACATCAGAAAACATAATCGGTGCAACTCAATTCTTCAATTATATTTTATAATATTCGATGTTATAATTTATACAATTGTATATCGATCTAAATATTTTTAAAATATTATAACAAATTCACTCCGTGCAACGCACGGGCGCAAATACTAGTACACAATAATAATGATTATATTATTATTTTATTACAATAAGATAATAAATATTTTAGCAATATTTAAATAAGTATTATTTGATCACTTTGATCTTCAAAGTCCAAACTGTACATAGTACAATCAGGTCATTCGAGGATAATTTGGTATAACTTTATTTTTAAATGTCTCAAAAGGAAAGATACCTAAGATAAATATAGAAAATATTTTTTTCAAATTTTAAAAAGATGTAGGTTCATTTAGAAACAAATTTGAATATTAATTACCAAAATGGTCAATTGACTATAGCGACATTATTATATTGGTAATTGACTATTTGTTTGACAAATTAAGTCTCTTAACTTTAAAAATCTTAACCAATTTGGTCATTCGTTAGTTTTGTCGTTAAACTTCTGTTAACTTGGTACCAGATTGATAATTTTACTATAGTCAAGTGACCATTTCAGTAATTAACTTTACAGGGCGTTTGGTTGGAGGGATTTTAAATTCCCTTCCCACTTAATTCCCACCTAATTCCAAAGGCCATTAAATTTCGTAATTTGGTTGGAGGGAATTGCAATTCCCCCATTTTCATGGAATTAAAATCACATGTCCCCCTGGTATTTTAATTCCTGGAAAAAAAAAAAAGAAAGTGATGAGTCAAAATTACCCCATCATTTTTTAACCTAAAATTAATGTCTAACAACAATAATGGACATTTTTTACTTTATACTACTTATTCTCTTTCAATTACCATGTATACCAAACATTGGAATTGAAATTTCCAGTAATTCTATTCCTGTCAACCAAACACTGGATGACTGGAATTTAAATTCTCACTTTATTCCCAGTAATTCAACTCCCATGGAATTACAATTCCTTTCCCACATAATTCCACCCCTCCAACCAAACGCCCTGTTAGGGGTGGCAATTCGGTTCGATTTTTAATAATAATAATAATAATAATAATAATAATAATAATAATAAGTAAATCCAAGACCCTTGTTGTCTGCTTTGTCGTTTAGCTTATATTATCATTGGTATATTTCTCATAAATATTTTATAACAAAATAGTAAACATCAGTTCGCTTTGTTATGTATTAGACTTTAGATTTATACGAGAGATACCAATGAAAATATGAGCTGAACGATAAATGATGCATCAAGGGATTTAGATTTACTTATTATTATTATTATTATTATTATTATTATTATTATTATTATTATTATTATTATTATTATTATTATATTTTAAATAAAATCGAACGGTATTTCCTTGTAGTTTTTAACCAAATAGTTCGGTATACAATAATTCATTACCGTTCGGTTGTTCGGTACGGTTCGGTTTGAAAAAATCGAACCAAATTGCCACCCCTAAAGTTAATTATTGAAATAGTCACTTGACTATAGCAAAATTACCAATTTGGTCCCAAGTTAACGAAAGTCTAACGGCAAAACTAATGAATGACTACATTGGTTAAGATTTTTAAAGTTGAGGGACTTAATTAGTTAAAAAAAATAATCGAATATCAAATTGATAATTTTAGTCAATGGACCATTTTGGTAATTAACCCTAATTCGAAATTCCTCAACTTTTTAAAAATGTTTTTCCAGCAAACCAAGCCACTAAATGACACTGAATTATATTCCTAAAAGAGTAAATACCCACAATGATCCTTCGACTATAGTTAAATTCACAAATTAGTCATCGACTATTAATTTGAACAAATAAAGTCCTTGACTTTGCAATTTCTATCCAACATAGTCTTTGTTAATTCCATCGTCAATTGACCGTTAAACCCAAGGATAAACTCATAATTTCACATGCTTCTCGCCTTTGCACTTCACCTGTTCGCTAAGTACAGACATTGTTCCTCTTCTTCCGACGAGGCATCAAATCAGCAAAGATTGATGGCGGCTAGCAGACTGTGCAACAACAAAGATGAAGCCATCGCCTCCCTTCGTCGGAGTTCTGTACCCGTAGCTTCTCTGCTTCTCTCCAAGCAACAACAATATTATCAGAGACAAAATCACTGATTATCAGGTCCACAGACTACATCAACCATCTTTTATGCATCTAATATTTTGTCCTTCAACCTCTCAATCATACAACCCAAAAAAAAAAAATTGGAAGATGCAAGGACTGTGATCTTCCAATGGCAGCATTGCTCTTCCACTACCTCTTCAGAAACCAAAAATAGTTAAGCGTCATCCAAACCTTTTGCTTCTGCATTGTCCCTTATAGCACAAGTATTTATAAATATAATCTCTACATTCTTTGGAACATCCGCAACTTTGCCATATCTAGCTTTCTTCATTATAGATAAACTATCATAAAAAAGCTTTCCCCCTGCCCAGAAAATCAGCCATACAATCCGTTAATATGTCATCAACCCAAAACCCATTTGCGTCCCAGCCCAAGAAAATAATTCGAGTGTATTAGTCCTATTCAATTCCCTATAATTCATCAACACTCGCAAGACGGCATTAGAATTAATATTGTGCTTAAAATCAGTCAAGAGCTCAACAATCGTTATCCATCGTTAAACTTCGCCGGTGATGAAGCTGCTTCGCCACCAATACTGCCCATATCTGAACCGTAGAACCTAACCACACAACAATGGCTGCAAAATCAGCCAAGCTACGTGTCATCTCTGTCGCTGGTTTAATTTCGACTGAAATTTATTGATGAAGAAGCCCGCATGTACCTTTCCAGTGTCCTGCATTCGTCCATGTATTCGTCAATAATCCTGGAGCTCAATGTTGTTTCTCGAGCCGGCTACCGTCCGTAGGGGTGTACAAACTACAGATAATTTTCGGTTAACCGACCGAACCGACAAAATTCGGTTAACCGTTTTTGAACCGAACTTTTTTGGTTCGGTTAATGGTTAACAGAATTTTAAAACTTCGGTTAACGGTTAATTCGGTTTGAAAGGTCGGTTAACCGAAGTTTTTAATATATATATAAATAATAAAATAAATATAAATACTAATTTGAAATTATGGATGTGTGGAGTTTATAATCAATGTTTTGTATATTTTGTTATGAATTTATTAAGATATGTATTTTATTTTAATTGGATTTATTATTTTAGATGTTATTTTTAGAATTTTAAATTTTAGCTTTAAAAAGTTCGGTTAATCAGTTAACCGACCAATTAACCGAAAAAAATTTCGATTCTGTGAATTCGGTAGAGCAAACTTTGGTTCGGTTAACGGTTAAAGGAAAAAAAAAATTTCGGTTAATTCGGTTCGGTTAACAGATTGAACACCCTTACACCCCTAATCGTCCGCATTTCCTCGCAAAGCAGAAACTCTGGTGGAAATTTCAAGCTCGAGGGAAATCACAATGTCGCTGGTAGAGAGGATATGTCCTTGGGTTTCACAGCCGCTTCCCCCAATACAGAACTACACTCACCGGCATTGCGAAATAGGGAAGCTTTGCAAAAAGAGAAGCGAAGTGGCAAATCGAAGGTAGGAATCGCCGTTAGAAGATGTGAAATTACAAGTATATACTTAGATTTCATAGCCAGTTGACAATGAAATTAACAGAGGACTATATTAGGTAGAAATTACAAAATCAAGAACTTATTAGTTCAAATTAATAATCGAACCATTTTTTTTTTTTTTTGGGTATTTACTCTTACTAAAATCTACTCCGTACTCCGTAGTAATGTAGTATGGAGTTGTCAATTTTCCCGCGCAGGCGCGCATATCTCAAATAAAATAAAATAGACGCGCGAATCCTTTCCCGCAACTCCCACAACTTTCTTTTGCCCATTGCCTCTTTCCAGCTGACAGCGTTAGCTAGGGTTCTGCTGCGTCTCGCCGGGCCTAGCTATGGAAAACCACCAAATCGCTCAGCTTCTCAATCAAACTTTAAGCTCTGATGGCAACGTTGTCAACTTAGCCACCGATGCTCTCGATCGCCTCTCTATGCTTCCAGATTTTCCATTCTATCTCCTCTCTATTGCCACGGGTACACGTTCATCCCTACAAGCATCCTTAATTTGGTTTAGCAGTTGAGTTTGGACTTAATTTCATCATACTATAACAATTACTGTTAGTTTTGTCTAGTCATTTGTTGTATGCTCAAAATATTCAATGATTATTCCGCATAGGAGGTGAAAATGAAGGTCAAAAGATAGCTGCTGCTACCTATCTTAAGAACTTCATCAGGAGAAATATTGATGCTAATGATGCAAATCAGAAACTCAGCAAGGAGTTCAGAGATGCTTTAGTGCACGTTTTGCTTCAAACTGAACCAGCAATTCTCAGAGTTTTAAACGAAGCAGTACGTGTACTGGGGATTGCATTCTGTTCCCTTGGCAATGACGGATAACATTTTAAGAATGTTAATCTGCTTTCCTTTTGATTTTAGTTCCGCTCAATTGTTGCTGTCGAGTTTGTGAAGAGTAGTTCCTGGCCTGAAATTGTACCAGAACTGAGATCTGTTATTCAAAACAGCAATATGATTAGTAACAAGGGCAGTTCTGAATGGAAAACTATCAACTCACTCACTGTTCTTCAATCCCTGATTAGACCTTTCAAGGTCAGTGTTATATGATCTTCATAAGAACTGATTTCTCTCTCTCTTATGGAAAAAAAGATGATAATGAAATTTGGAATTTCAGATTCTAAATTCTACTTTCAGTTTTAGAAAGGTTATTGGATGAGAGCTGAAACTTGAACAAATATAATTTTAGAGGAAGGCTGTGAAGTGCGTTTCATTTTACATTATCTTGAACATTTAACTAAAACCTCTTTGCTTGGCTGTAAATACTAAATACTCTCATGTAATTTCTTGGCAGTACTTCTTGAATCCAACACTTGCAAAGGAGCCAGTTCCTCCTCAGCTAGAGCTTATTGCAAAGGAGATACTTGTACCCTTGCTTGCAGTGTTCCATCACTTTGTGGATAATGTCAGACTTCTAAATTATTTCTTCAGTTACTTTTCTTGAATGATCCAGCATGCTTTAGCAATTGTCTTGTTTCCTTTTATAAGATTGTTGACAGCATTATGTATGCTTGAAACAGGTGCTACATGTCCAAGATAATGTCGAAGCAGAGATTCAGAACATTCTTCTTATAATAAGCAAGTGCATCTATTTTGCTGTGAGAACACACCATCTATTTTATGTTGTCTAGGCAGTAGGCATTGAATAACTGCAAAAAAGTTTTGGCGTACTCGTAATCTAACTTACTGATCTGGCTTGGCCAATGTGGAAGTTGTCTCAGTTCAATCTTCAGGTTCCTCTTCACATAGTTGTTCTTATAGTATTGTGGACTTAATCCTTTTGATGTTTATTTTATAGGTGAGATCACATATGCCCTCTGCTCTGGCTCCCTTGCTTCCATCACATTGTCAAGATCTAATAAAGTTTTTGAATTCTTTAAGTTTTGATGATGGAATGAATTGCAAAGACAGGGACTTGTTCAGGTTGAAGACTGGGAAGAGAAGCTTACTGATATTTTCTGCTTTAGTCACCCGTCATAGGAAGATATCTGATAAGTAATCTAACAAAAAAAGGCATTTTAATTTGATACAATAGAAAAGATGGAATTCTGATATTCTTGTGATCTTATATTGGCAGACTGATGCCAGGCATGGTGGAGTGTGCCACAAAAATAGCCAGGCATAGCACAAACATCAGTGTGAGTGCTATTTTACTACATAGTACTTGATAAATTTGTAATGATATTCTGATATGTGAATTTATTGTTTCTTTTCATTAGGATAACTTTTTAATTGGTGGTTGGCCTGCATTGCCACACACAGACACTGGCATGCATACACTGAAATACACTCACACACACACACATACGTAGCGGTGTTCTTTTATAACACAAAGACTCATCTCTAACTTGTATTTTCCTTTTCAAAGTTTCTTTTTCCTTCTCTTGCTCACTTCTACTGTCACATTACTACTTTTGTTATGTTTTCATTTCAATCTTTGGGTTGCAGAAACTGGATTCATTGTCAGAGAGGATTGTTTCATTGGCTTTTGATGTTATTTCTCGTGTTCTGGAGACAGGCCTGGTAGTTTTTCTTCATTTACTTAAATCTCTAAACATGGATTTTAGATGGTGTCTTGTCTTGCATCTTGACTAAGATTCCTTCTTTCACAGACCAATATATATATATATATATATATATATATATATATATATATATATATATATATATATATATATATATACACACCTTATTTGAGGAACTTCTTTTATTTTTGTTTCCCTTGTCTTTTAAGACATTATTTTTATTGACTATTCAAAATACTATATTCTAATCTGCTACTCCATTAGACTCTTTTTTTTCTTCTCAATCTTGTATTTGATTTTGTAAACAGGGATGGAGGTTAGTTTCACCCCATTTTTCTTCCTTGTTAAACTCTGCAATCTTCCCAGCTCTGGTGAGGAATGAAAAGGTCAGATGTTCTAATTTTCTAAGCATGCCTCTTTGTATCATTCTCTCTCCCTAGGTAGACACATACCTCTACTATGTAAATGTACTTTTTGACATATTGGTGCAGAAAAAAGTGCCTTTTTGATACTAGGGGAAATTGCACTTTTCATCCATAAGTTATAGGGTAATTGCAGGATTTGTCCCTACTTGTTGGTCGTGCTTACTTCTCGTCCCTAAGCTATAGCCAACGTTGCAAGTTCCGTCCTTTTTCTAACAAAACAATAGGGGTGGAATTTGCAACGTTAGTTATAGTGTAGGGACAATAAGTAAGCACGACCAGCAAATAGGGACGAATCCTACAATTACCCTATAACTTAGGGATGAAAAAGTGCAATTTTTTCTTGATACTATTATGCTTTATATTGAAGCCTGAAATTTTGGATGTAGGACATGGCAGAGTGGGAAGAAGATCCAGATGAGTATATAAGGAAAAATCTTCCTTCTGAGCTTGTATGTACATGCTATTTTGTTTACATCATTTATTATATTCTTGGATTCAAGGTATTGTCTTATTGTGTGTTTTCATAACTCCATAGGAAGAAATTTCTGGATGGAGAGAAGACTTGTTCACGGCTAGAAAAAGTGCCTTAAATTTGCTTGGTGTTATTTCAATGTCAAAGGTTAGTTGTCTGCAAATACTATTTTGCTGCTTGGTTTATCAAAATACTTAGAAATATCCTTTTTTGTTTTCCTCCAGGGACCTCCAGTAGTTAATTCTTCACATTCATCAAAACGTAAGAAAGGAGAGAAGAGCAAAAAAACAACTCGCAGGTCAATAGGAGAGCTGCTAGTGCTTCCCTTCTTGTCAAAGTTTCCTATTCCCTCCGATGCTAACATAAAGATAGTAAATGAGTAAGTTGAAAGAAATTTTCACCTTCAAAATCTGAAAGTGTCATAATAATTATGGTGTCAATGCCATTAAAATTTAAAAGTAGAGGTGTGTTTTTTATATGCATCAGCATGAGTTGGCTTATATATCATCAACTTTAATCTGTCTTTTTTTGAATTTTTGGCAGATATTATGGTGTTCTGATGGCATACAGCAGCCTTCTAGATGTAATGAGTTTCTATGTAGTACATGCTATTTAGAATTAGTTTACTGAGTTTTATAGGGAAATCTTTACATGGCATTATGCCTGCAGTTTCTAAAGGAGCAAAAGCCTGGATATACAGCTACTCTTCTTCAGACTCGGCTGCTACCACTGTATAGAGCACCTCTTCCAGAACCACATTTGATTGCCTCTGCAAACTGGGTTCTAGGAGAGCTTGCATCCTGTCTTCCTGAAGTTAGTTTCTATTTGATGTTCCTCATTTTGTTTTCGCACAGATTTGACAGATGTGAATACGCAGCATTGAATGTTCTTATCATTTAATTGTCATACATTTTTTGTGCACCTGAATTTTCATTACTTTTCTTACTACCCTTTTAGGAAATGAGTGCTGATATTTACTCTGCTCTGATGGAAGCTTTCATCACACCAGATAGAGACATCTCATGTTATCCTGTGCGGGTGTCTGCTGCTGGAGCAATTGCCCAACTTGTTGAAGTAAGAAAGTCTGCATTACCAATGTTTCTCTATATAAATGTAGATTAAAATACCATATTCCTGTTCAACATTTTGGATCTTGGCAGAATGACTACATGCCACTTGAGTGGTTACCACTTCTTCAAGTGATAGTGGGTAGAATCAATGATGGTGAAGAAGAGACCTCCATCAGTTTACAGCTTCTTGGTACTTTGGTCGAGGCTGGAAATGAGAACATTGCACCTCATATCCCACATGTTGTTACTTTATTGGTTATGACAATCCTAAAGCACATACCTTTAGATTCGGAGCCTTGGCCTCAGGTGTGTGCCATTACTTTGATTGATATACTTTTTCCATTGCTTCTACAAGGTTTCAGGGAGTTGTAGTTACTGGCATTAAGAAAAGGAAATAGTTTGGTACTATGTTCCATTTGATTTAGACTGGGGGAGAACGATGTACTTTGGTGCAGTTTTTGCAACTTCTCAGCCATGCTTCATTGCATTGTGCATATTTCTTTCTATGAATTGATGAATGGCTTAATAGTTAGACACTCTCATTCAACCCTGTCATATTTCCGGTTAGTTAGTATGGTGTTACTATGATGTAATTAGGATTTATTGCTCAATTGTTGTATGCAGCTCAAGTACAAATTAATATTTAAATGCATGTTTAGCAAAACCCAATTTTTCATCTATAATTGGACTACCATTTTTAACCCATAGAAAAGTTCATTTAAAATATAATCTGTTTTCCACGATGGAATTTTTTTTTAGATTTCATATGCTCTTCCCCCTTCCCATGAAATTTTCTCAAATTCAAACACAGTTATTTATCATAATGAATCTTGAGATTTAATACTTTATGGCATCTGACCTTTAATAGATGGTTGAACGAGGCTTTGCAACATTAGCAGTTATGGCTCAATGTTGGAGAGATTCTATACCTGATGAAAACGAGAACAAGGAATTTGAGGAAGTGTGGCTTCCAGGGCAAGCAACTATTATGAAAGCCTTTTCTGATATCTTGCAGCAGGCGTGGCTAAAATCTGCTCAACCAATGGTTGGTTACTCTTATGCAACTTTTTTTTCCCCTTTCTCTGAGAATCCTGACTATGGTGCTGTGCATATGCATGTGCTCAAAACTCACACTTTATCAACACAGGCAAAGATAATTTTATAGCCACACACCTCTGATTGCATAGTGCTTTCAGCCTTTCATTGGATGCATTCTATCCTCAATAGAAAATGAAACTGGTTCTGCTTATAGTTAATATCTTAGAATTGATATTATCAAAGAGAGCAATTATAAAGTAACTCAAAGTTAGTTGAACCTACATTTAAACTTTTGTTAGATTAATTTTTGACTGATTACTTTTTGAAATCATCAGGAAAGTGAGCTTGGTCTCTTAAAGCTGCCTTCATCAAGTGTTGATGATTCTTCTAGGTTACTTGGATTTGTTTTGCAAGGCATTACTGATAGGAGTGAAATTGCAAAGCTAAAAGTCACAGAGCTATTGCTGGTATGGTCTGATCTAATAGCTGATTGGCATGCATGGGAGGAAATGGAGGACTTGTCTATTTTTAATTGCATTAAGGAAACTGTTAATCTGACTAGGAAATTTGCTATTAAGAATTTCATTGTGGGGGAATTGCCATTTCCTCCTGCTCCACCCGTACCAAGACGTTCTATTGTTGAAGGAATTGGTGCTTTTGTAGCCGAGGCTTTCTCACAGTATGTATCTGTTGTCTGGAGGGCATCTGCATGTGTCCATATGCTATTACATATTCCAGATTACTCTTTTGAAGGAGAAGGCACCAAGCAGTCATTAGTGATATCTTTCACTATTGCAGCATTTACTCGATTTAGAGAAACAAAAAACAAGCCTGTTTCACTGTGGAAACCTTTACTATTAGCAATATCATCGTGTTACTTATGTTGCCCAGATGTTGTAGAGAAGAGATTGGAGAATATTCAAAATGAAGGCTTTATGGTATTTGCATCTGCATTGGCATTTATATCTACCTGCAAATTTGAACACACTTGGTCAACAGAGTCTCAGATCAAGTTGGCTGGTTAGTTTCATAGAATTCTCAAAAAAAAAAAAATTATAAATCTTGTTTACATTTTATGATTTCTGGAGGATGTATAGTGTTTTATTGTTTTGCAGAGTTAAGTAGTTTGGGGTCAATTCTTGACTGTGGAGTAACTGAAATTATGTTTGATGCTATGAATAACTGCTTGGTATAAATATTGTCATTGTCATTTATGTTATTATTATTAGTTTGGCTTTTGACTCTGGTGATTTGCAGTTATAGCACTGGCAAAAGTAGTTGAGAAACTGCTAACACAACAAAGCCAAGGGAGTGTTGTACTGCATAACTGCATTATTTCACTAATGGAAGTGTCAGTGAGGTTAAAAGAAGTGCAGCAGGAAGAGGATGAAGATGAAGAAAGTGAAAATGGGGATTGTGGTGATGAGGAAACTGAAGATGATGATGATGAGGAGGTTGGTTCATTTAATTTTGTCAAATCAATTCAGAATAAGCTCTGTTGCAATGAGACTTTCCTCTTTGAAGAGTGGAGTGGTTGCTCTCCAAAATGTGGCCTTAGATGATAAAAAGGTTAAAGTAATTTGCACTTGAATTTTATGTTAGGATTCTGAGGACAATGAACGAGAAGAAACCGAGGAAGAGTTCTTGGAGAGGTGTGCTGAGACAGCAATTGCATTGGAAAATGGAACCATTCTTGAAGGAGATGAGGAAGATGAAGATCATGACATTGAATTGGGTAATGCCATGAATTCTTCCACTTGCAATGAATAATTTAGCTTACATTTGATGGCTTTGAGAATTGGTTGCTTGTTTATTGATTGACCAAATGTAAATTAGATACATAGTGGATTCACTAATCAGGTTTAAAATAACTAGTATATGACAGGCTCTTGTGATTCTTTATTGCTGATTGCATTAAATTATTGCCTAAACTGACTTTTGCTGCTGCATGCTGGAAATATAGGTTGCTTAGAGAAATTTGATCTGCAAAGCACTGTGGTTTGGTTGATTGAAAAATCTCATCAAGTTCTTTTGCAAGGACAGGCACCATCATCAGAACTCATTTTGCATTTCTTGGAGTCCTTTCCGGAATGCAGATTATACTTCCCGCAACTTCAGCAGTAATTTGACCGGAATAATTTTTTGTTTATTGGCAAGACAATGAGAGTCCTTGGTATTATTCCTTCTGTGCTGCCGGCTCCTCTTTGTATTGCAGGGTTTTCATTTTCACCCTTCCATTTTCATGTGTGGAACTGTAACCTTACTAGTTCAAGGTTTTTTTTTTTTTTTTTGGCAACTCCATGTGGATGTTCTAAATGGTGAAATATGTATGTTAATCCATCTAAATTGGATTGTCGTGAATATGATGGAATGTAAAATAAAATTGATAAGCACAATATTTTTTAAAATGTTTCAAAAAAAGAAGAAAAAAACAATGCATTAACTAATTGGAGAATTATTTTTTTGAAAAAACATGAAAAATTACGACACTACAATTATATTATGTCGTTATTATTATTATTTAAAAAAACTTATGTGATCTTTGTTAGATTAATTATTTCTAAGCTTATAAGACCGTCTTTGGAGCCAAATATTAAGTCATTATTACAAATAGTCAATTATGAGTTCATTATTTAATATAATTATAGATTAATTAAAAATTGAAATAAAATTAATATTTGTTTTACAAACATTAATTAGAGATTTTTTTAAACACAAAAAATTAAATCTAAAAATAAGTAAAATATTTATTAAAAAAATAAAGAAGAAAGAGTTGATTTGATTAAATAATAGTAAGTAAAACAGGTAAAATGTGATAAATGGAGTATTATTTTTCTTCTTTGTCTTTTATGTAATTTAATGTAAATGGATTTCTAAATTTGCAATTACATTAACATTATATTTTAATAAATACATTAAGCGAGGGACTAAAATGACCACAATGCAAACAATTCAAGAATTACATGGGGTCACTTAATAATTAAAAGATCGAGTGTATATTTATGACACAATTGAAGGATTATTAATTCTATGTACAAAATTCTTACGCTTAATACACATTTTTTCTATTTTATTTATTCTCAGATCTTATTTATGTAAATAATTTATGTCATAGGCACATAATTACATAATACAAAACATAAATTCATAAAATAGGACACAAAATATTGTATTATATAACTACTTATTAATTTCATGTACATAATTACATAACATAATGTATAGAGACACATAACACGATATATATATATACACATATGTTTTCTATTTTATTTATTCTCATATATGATTCGTGTAAATAATTTATGTCATATAAAAACATAATTATATAATACAAGATATAAATTAATAAAATAGAACACACAATATGTTTTGTGTTATACAACTACTAATTAATTTAATGTACAGAATATTTACGTTTAAGGTACAAAATTTCGTAACATAATGCACAGAAACACATAACAATGTACAAAGACATATTTTACAGTACAAAATTGTTTATAATGCGAATTAAAGTTTAAAAAGATGTCGTATAGGAGCAGAGTCCACAGTCCATGATTGGTAAATAGTGGGCTTCCTTCGAATTCTCAATATTTGCATCTTAGGCCCATTTTTAGAGGCCGAAAATGAAATTTAGCTTCAACAACTAAACCCTAGGCATATATAATCTACATCCCAAGAGAAGTAATGACTTTGGTGTGAGCGGAGACGCGACGCGAAAATGCAGATCTTTGTGAAGACCCTGACGGGGAAGACGATAACCCTAGAGGTCGAGTCATCGGACACCATTGACAATGTGAAGGCGAAAATCCAGGACAAGGAGGGCATCCCACCAGACCAGCAACGCCTCATCTTCGCCGGAAAGTAGCTCGAGGACGGGCGCACCCTTGCAGACTACAACATCCAAAAGGATTCTACCCTCCACCTCGTCCTTCGCCTCCGCGGCGGGGCAAAGAAGCGCAAGAAGAAGACATACACGAAGCCCAAAAAGATTAAGCACAAACACAAGAAGGTGAAGCTCGCCGTCTTGCAGTTCTACAAGGTTGATGATTCTGGAAAAGTACAGAGGCTCCGTAAAGAGTGCCCCAACGCGGAGTGCGGTGCTGGCACATTCATGGCCAACCATTTTGACAGGCACTACTGTGGCAAATGTGGGCTTACCTATGTCTATCATAAGGCTGGCGGTGACTGATACTTTTCTTCTACTTTCATTTCATTATGAATCCTTTATATAATTTTAGACCGTGATGTTTGGCCGTATAATGGTTTTGAAACTCTTTTGGCTTTTTCCAAATCCTATTTTCCTGCTATATTTTGGTTTTGATCCCCCTATTCGGCCTTGTTTATCCAAACTTGTGTGGTTCTACAAAACAAACGCTTTGGATACATATCTTCCCTTTCACCAAGGGAATGGAAATTTATGTACTCACGCTATTTACTTCTCAACTACTCCGCACAACAATATGCTTGCTAACACATCAAAATATATGCCATTTCAAATTGCCAAAGCTATATAATTCGCAAAACCAATGTTTCAGCACATACTAAAAAAAAGGCAACAAGGTCCTCCCATGTTATTAATGAAGCGAGGGTGGGAGAAATATATATATATATATATATATATATATATATGCAGGCAGCATTGTCTGCGATATTCTGCTACTTCTATACCAACAAGTTTGATCTTTAAAAAAAAATGAAATGCCAAAACCTAGAACTTGTATTCAGCACTTTTAATTCAGACCACACGTCAACCATCAGTACCATGTAGCAACACTAGGCCTGAATGAAAACAAAACATAGAATTATAGGTAGTGATGAGAAAACCAGTACTCCAGTAGATACAGAAATTAAAATGAATTTTCTGCACCTTGTTTGCTATGTTGTTTGAAAGCCAATCCAATCCCTCATATAGCCCTTCCCCAGATGTTGCACATGTGCTCTGAATATACCTGCAAGGGACACATCATATTTCAATTTGAGTTTTGGTACAAGCAGCCTAGCTAGAATATCACAGAAGAATGACGAGGTGGTCATGAAGTCTACCAGTGTCTCTGTCGTAGAGAGTGAAGACCAAGCTTATCAGTGATTTCAGCAGCATTCATTGCATTTGGAAGATCTTGTTTGTTAGCAAAAACAAGCAGCACTGCATCTCTTAACTCATCCTGCAATATATATATATATATATATATATATAGAGCACAAAGTTTTTTTGATATACAGGTTCATAAAAACAACTAACAGTCATCTTAATGTTCTCATGATCTCAAATAAAAAAATATCAATAGTACCTCATTCAACATTCTATGTAGTTCATCTCTTGCTTCAACAATACGATCTCGGTCATTGCTGTCAACAACAAAGATGAGGCCCTGTGTGTTTTGGAAATAGTGCCTCCACAGAGGTCGAATCTGCACCACCCAATCACCCATAAACATCATGAAATTGAATTAGACTTATTTTCATGCAGATGGTACCATCACTCCACCAAGGACTCAATCTTTAAACATTACAAGACAATAGTAATACACTATAATCAACTAGTCATTCGTCAACAGAACATATTTGCAATCCATTAGGCCAAACTTCTCTTCTGCATTTTGTTGGTTGGGTGGGTGGGTTACATGGTGAAGGACTGAAGGTGAAACCAAAACATGCATCTTCACAAGTAATAAAGTACCAAAACATGTCAGTCACAGCCTGGATTCCCTTCCCCATAGACTTGAGAAGAGACTGAAAACCAAGGTAGCTTATGATTATGTTAGGTGTTGACATAACGTATTTTCAGAACCTGACCGTCCATATTTCACCTAGGCACTAGTGCACTACCACATGTCATTCAGTTGTACTCGTATTCAACAGCATGTAAATTTGAATCGCAAAAGAAAATTTTGAAAACAAGAATGAAGCATATGAACTTCAAAAATATAATAGCCAACATTGCAGCAGATACTTCAGATAAGGTATCATGCACTCATATTGTTCCCAGAATTGCAACTCTAAAACCAAGAGATACCAACCAACAAAAAGAAAGAAATTGTCTGTGATTGCAAGAAAGCACCAGACATAATCAGATGAAGCGTAGAACAGTATCTGCAAGAAATGGAATCACTGAACCACTGATTCACCATTTTCAAGTAACCCAAAAATAGTTTTCGAGTTAATACCCGATTTGGTCCCTCGATTATTAGGATTTTACCACTTTGGTCCTTGACTTCCAAACTTGCTCAATTTAATCATCAACTATGCAATATTTACCTAAAATAGTCCTTTGTACAAACCAAAATAGTCCTGATTAGGACCATTTTGGTTAACAATTGCATAGTTAGGGATGAAATTGAGCAAGTTTAGAAGTCGATGATCAAAGTAGTGAAATCCTAATAGTCAAGGGACCAAATCGGGTATTAACTCAATAGTTTTCTTAGGCACATAGCACACACAGAAGGCATGAAGGGAGGAAGCCTCAAGTAAAGAACAAATATGCTAGAGGAACATCCACAAAAATTATAGATGTTACCAACTAGTACACCTGATTAATTCATTCCTAAAACCATCTTCCATGAGCAGCATACAATTAACAAGATGAGTAGGAAAAACCAAAGATCTGTGTGAATACAGATTATCCATTAAAATGGGAAAAAGCAAGTATAATCCACCTCAACACAAATATGAAACATGGAGAACTCTGCTATTCTTCTACATTGAGTCCTTCAAATTTATTACAATGATATCAACAAAGAAAAAATGCGGGAGAGCAAAGAAAATGCATACCTTATCCTGGCCACCAACATCCCACACAGTAAAGCTAATGTTCTTGTATTCAACAGTTTCCACATTGAACCCTAGCAATAGTTTATATATATATATATATATATATATATATATATATATGCTTAAATAAGGTAGTGAGAATAATAGCGAATACCGCACATTACAAACGATTGCAAATTTCTCAGAGAAAAAAATTGTGCACTCAATCTAAGCAATTTTGATTGATCATTAACTTATCAAATGTAACTCTAAACTGATTGTGATCTTTAATAAATATGATACACCCTGGGGTGATTTACAAAGCATGAACATAACATATTAACAATTATACAACTAAGCATGATTTGGCAAAATATTTTCCATGTACAAGTGATGAGCTGTAAGAGATTAAGGTTGCACAGAAGTATACCAATAGTAGGAATGGTGGTGACAATTTCCCCCAACTTAAGTTTATACAAAATTGTTGTTTTACCGGCAGCATCAAGACCGACCATGAGAATGCGCATTTCTTTCTTAGCAAATAGGCGACTAAAGAGCTTGGTGAAAGACAGGCCCATCTTTGTTAATCTGGAATAAAGTACTTCCAGTTAATACTAAACAATTGTGAGAATAATTAAAAAATGAATCTGTGAATAATCACCCCACCACAGTGCAGAGGCAGGGGATTGATAATCACGGATTGCTCTACTCTACAGGGATACTTAACATCTTCCGATCCCGGGCTTCTCTCTTATTTGGGATTCACGATTGATTATTGCAGGTCTACCATATCTACTTTTATGCATTGTTTAGTTCATTTGATTCCTAGACCTGACAATGTTTTAGCTCAAACGCTTGCTGCGTCGGCCTCTGGGCAGGATAGTTCGTAGTATTGGGACTCTGTCCCGCCTGTCTTGCTCAGTTAATCTATAATCGCTTTGCGTTTGGTTTTCAAAAAAAAAAAAATAAAATGAATCTGAATATAATGATCATCAAGCAGAACAGACAGATATCCACAATATTACAAAAAAAAATAATAATAATAAAAAATACGAGAATCAGGTCGGGTATCACCTACATATCCGAGAAGTACATTAAAATTCAACGATCGGCAGCAAAAACGGAACAGGGCATGATTTAAAAAAAAAAAAAAAAAAAACAGCAATAGTTCATGAATAAAGAAAAAGCTTTTTCCAGAGAAATCGATTTCGATTGAAGAAGAAAAAACAAAAGAGAACGGAACATGGCAAAACTAAAAGTATGGATGCAGAAAGGTGGCGTAACCCAAAGCGGGGCATAATTGCTTACTGAAGATCGGTGGATGGGAGAAGAAATGCGTAGATCTCCAAGTCTACCACTGCTGCTGCGCTTGCAGAGGAGGAGTGAGTATGCCTCGTTTCTACTTTTCTAAACAGGTGTATATTTTGAAGAAGAAATGATTGTCTGACGGACGTTTGTTTTCTGCAAGAACCGAGGCACGCCGTTACTCGCGGTTTTTTTTTAGTACTGCTGATTATGGTAGAATACCATCTTTATTGAGATCAAACTCATGACATCTGACAAAGGGTTAATATCCAAAATCGTCCTCGACTATAGTGGTTTTTCTCAATTTCGTCCTAAACGACTTTGGTGACCTAATATCGTCCCACACTTTTGTATTTCGCTCAATTTAGTCCCAGACTTTTGTGTGTTTGCTCAATTTAGTCCTTCATTTGTTATTCTTTCCATTTGGTGTTAAATAAATAAACAATTCAGTAATTTTAATATTGGCATCTCTTTACTCATAGACATGTGAACTGCGAAATCTTTTTTTTTTTACGAATTATTTCCAGAATTACTCCTAAAACTGCGAATATACAATTTGATTCGCAGGTCCGAGAGTAATTCTGGGTGTAATTCGTACAAGAAAGAGGAATTTCCCACTTCACAAGTTGAAAGTAAGAGAGGTCAATATTGACATTACTGAATTGTCCCTTTATTTAACACCAATTTGACGGAATAACAAATGGAGGACTAAATTGAGAGAAACACAAAAGTCTGGGATGATATTAGGTCACCAAAGTCGTTTAGGACGAAATTGAGAAAAACCACTATAGTCGAGGACGATTTTGGGTATTAACTCGACAAATATATTATATCTATCTATCTACTATACTAATAAGAGCACAAGAGAGTTAGGCCTATAATGGGTAGAAAATGTGTCCGTCACAGATTTTAATCAAATGAATGGCTCAAATTAATCAAAAAATTGATCAGATTTAAATTTAACAATGAAATTTACTTAAATACCCACACACCGTTACTCCATCCGTTAAAATTTTTAATTGACCGTTAATGATCTCTGAAGTTTTAAGGATTTCGGAAGTTTGTTGTTTGAGTAATGAGATTTAATTGGAGTAGGACTCCTCTAAAAATGCAGGACCAGGATTATATTGGCCCTGTTTGGTAAAATGGCTGTTAGTTGATTCTGTTAATTAGAGTGTATAAATAGTTGATAACATTAGCTGATTGTAGAAAAGTGTTTGGTAAATTAGCTATTAGCTGATAGCTGTTTGGTGTAATTTCTTTTCTCAAAAAGCTAATTGAAAAAGTTGCTTGGAGTAGCCTTTTGAATTTTAGCCTTTTGGAGTTGCAAAAAGCTAATTAACCAAACATTTATATTGATATTTTAACTAAATCAAACAATTAATTGTGATCAAATAAGCCAAAATTGACCTATAGGCCAATTTTTTACCAAACAGGGCCATTATATTGTTTCACACCGCCTAACGACTGATTTCTTAATATGATCTAGCACTTAGCACTCCATTATTCCCTGTAGCAAGTGTATATATAATTATATCTATTATACTAATAAGAGCCCAAGAGAGTTAGGCATATAATGGGTAGAAAAAATGGCGGTCAAATATTTTAATCAAATGAATGGCTCAGATTGATCAGATTTTAATTTTTCTTTAAGATTTCCTAATTTATCCTTAATGAATATGATTATCCAATATAATCTTGCCTTGATATACTTTAAACTATTTATTAAAAAAAAAAAAACATTGGGCATTATCCAATCGCGTAATGCGCGTAAAAAACTAGTGTTGAAATAAAAGTTAATACTCAATTTAGTTGTAGAGTATAATAATATTAAGATATTTTAGTAATGTTCTCTCTATTAATATTTAATTTAATCATTAACTATAACGATTTTATCTAATTTAGTTATTGTCTATAGTGATTTTACACAATTTAATCATCAACTAAATAATTTTTTTTTAATTATTTAGTCATTGAGTATAGTCATCAAAGACTCAATTACTTAAAACCATCCAAAACCTAATGTTTATGACTAAATCAAACAAAATCACTATAATCAATGACTAAATTAGGTATTAATCAATGACTAAATTAGGTATTAACTCATAAAGTATTTTATCTTTAAAAAAATTCATTGAAGTATTCACTATTTAAGTTTAACAAACTCTACATAGCTCTAGTGCTCTACTACCGTTGTATTAGTGTCTGTTAATTTATCTATACCTTTCATTCCAAATGGATAAATATGGACTATGATTTTTTAAGAGTCAATCACGTTCATTATTTTGTATTGACACGATGAAACATGCACAATTACATTATGAATTTATTGATAAACATTTAACCAATAGCTGAACTAAAGAGGTTGGATGACCAAATTAAACTTGATTAACCTATAAATTTTAATTTTTTTTTTAAAAAAAAAACCACCTTAGCCTAAAAAGTATTTTAAACTGAAAGATCCAAATTAAGTTGATACAATAATCCAGATGTTTAGACCAAGTTTACAATAATTTTAGTTAAAACCATTAATTTTATTACTTATATTATTTCAAATATTTATTAAAAAGAAACCATAAATATCGACTATAAATAACAAATTTTTTATTACATTAGAGTCAATAATCACTACAATATATATTTTTGAATATAATTTGGAATTAATACGTTTGTGAACGAATATACAAAGTTAAAAATTAAACATGTATATTTTTTTTATAGTTTGGGGCCCTTAAAACAAATTATAGTCCTACGCTAGCTGCATGCATTTAGTAATTGATGAATATATTGGATCCAGAGCGAACCGATCCGAAGAAACGGACCCGAGACGCCTCGGCCTAATCCCTTGGGCCGTGGCCGAGTCGGCTCCAAGCATCTCGGCCTTGGGCCGAGCCCGGCCACGGACGAGCTCAGTACACTCGAGCTCGCCACCATGGACTCGGCCACTACCGAGCCGGTCCATGGTGGACTCGGCTAGGCCGAGCTCAGCACGTGTCCAGCTCGGCCATGCCGAGTTGGCCCGCCTTGGACCCGATCCCGGAAGGGACGCGGTCAAAGCGGGCCGATCTAATCACCCCCAGTCCTAGGGGTGCGGTTAGGGATTTGAGCTGATATAAAAAGTCTCCATCTTGTCCTAAACAGGGACACAACATATTCTTGAACTACTATCTTCTAGTATTATTGTCCTAATCAAGTCTCGTAATAACTTATTAGCAATAATTAATACAATACACGGTCCCTCCAACCTTACGATATATCTGCATTACGTTATTTATTTCTTATATTCTCTTATCCGGATTTAATAAAAACTTTTGTTAATGCACCAACCAAACAATAGTAGGGCGCGGGCAAGTTTAATTTGAATTAAATATATATGCATGTCATTGTCAATTTCTAGCGCTTATTTTTGAGTTGTCTTGCATGTATAAGTGTGCATTTATAGAGCGCTGCAAATCATATCACCATCTCCTGCGCTCACTGATATTGAGCACGCTGATAAACACTTAACAGACAAGAATATACTATACAGCTGTTGAAAAGAATCAGAAAACCAATTCAAGTACCTAATACGTACACACTTAACAGATCAGATCGAATTCAAACGACATTGCTAGCTACCATATAAGGCCAGTACGTATGTGTGTATACCTGCTTAGCTTCTTCAGTAACATAATACTATATATATGTTAGACGTCCTTAATTTCTTGATCATATGGCATTCTTCAATTCTCATCTGTTACCTTGTGTCCTTCCATTCCATGCACGTACTCACGTCTGCTTCACTGATAATCTCTCTGATTATTATATTAAAAATACAGGTTGTAAGGAATTGAAGAGGGAACTAACTGATTGATTGAGCATCAAAATAAATACCCAGGCCGGCAGCCTGCAGATCAAAATCAATTTAATATGTAAGACATGCACTGGCTAGCTATATATCTTACTTATAAGCTCGTAAGTTACGATCATTGTAACTCCATAGAAAGACATATTAAGGAACCTTGGTCCAAAGCCTCTGTAGAACCCTCTCCATCCCTCTTCTTGGAGGAGTATCTTTGTCGTCTTCATTACTGACGGCCTCCCAACCCCATACTCGTCCATAACCTTCAAACAACGTAACAACATATGTACCATACTTACTGTTTCAATACTTGCATTGTCACCGAAATGACCCAAAGCCAAACCTCCTGTATGTTGCAATTGCCCGCACAACAAATTAAAGCATGCAGATCAATCAAGTATATATATACCTACCTGAAGCCGTGTTTTCACAGTGTCTATTGGAGTAGTAACAACCGAAGAACAAGCACCAGCCAACATTCCAGCCGTAGCTTGGACTGTAACCATCTCCATATGAGATGGTTTCTTTCCCATATCATCACTATAATCCAGACTCCTTAAATTCCAAGAAAAAAAAAAAAAAAGTATAATAAACTCAGTAACTAAAAGTAACACATATATACTCTTCAGTTGGCAGAGCACACTGATTTATGTACCTCCAAATAATATGTTGAGCAGTAGCATAAGCACCCCACCACAGTGCAGAGGCAGGGGATTGATAAACAGCTGTTAATCCGAAACCTCTATACATGCCGCGGACACCCTCATCCTTCATTACTGTACGTATGACATCAAATGTGCCATTGCAAAGTTTACTCCCAGGAACCCCTTGAACCATCAGTCTCTGGCAAATCTAATCAATGCAAGGCAATTTTCAGCACACACACACACTAGCCTGGAGGACCATGTGAGTTACATTGAAGTTAATTGCCAACATTTTTCAATTAACATACAGTAGAAAGACTCTGATCTATATGTCAATTCAAATCACTGGAAGCACTAATTAATTGTCATATATGTTTGCTTTCAGGAGCGAATTATACAGGCAACCAACAACCATTCCTATATTTGTAAAGTTCAAATTAAAACCTTTACCCGTCTAATTCAGCCAACATTTCTGAAAGCCTTTTGCAAAGTTGTGTCTGTACTCTGTAGTGTAGGCTTACTAGTTTATCTAGGAGGAAGGTAATTCGATCAGTATCACTTTTAGTCAAATTAAAGTTCATAATGAGAACCAATCAATTACCATGACAAAAGAGTTATCCAGCATCATCTTACTCCGTATGTATTTTACAAACAGTAATCCATTAGTGACGGAATACTTGAAGAATACTAACAGTACAGTGTCGGAAGTTTACTTATCCTTATAAAAGAGGAGGACAAAAAAAAACTATGTGGAGAGATTTTAGTCATACTGAAATATATGCACTAACTTTAATTTAATGAACAGTCCCAGTTCCCACTATGTATATTTATGAGGTGTGTCCAAATGCATATATATTCAAGTTAATTATATCTATAGGGCCAGGGAATCAGTACAGTGACTCACCACATCCAGAGGCACAAAGTATACACATGAAATTAGGTTGGACACCATCCCTGCAACACCATTTGCAATGCCAACACGAGTTGCTTCTGGCATATCTATACCTTGTATGTGTTTGAGCATCATATCTTTGGATACCTCAAGTGAAGTCAAAGCCAGCACACGGCCAGGCAATGATCCAATTGCTGATGTGCCAAAGCCTCTAAATATGCCAGGAATACCGTCATTTTTTAGTATATGCTTAAAAACAGATAGTCCTGTCATATGTGAGAATCCAGAACTCCCCGCCGCCACTTGCATCCTTGTCTTCACGACTGCTGTTGGATGTATTAAAGCTGACTGAGCAGTGAAGAGAATAGCTCCAGTGATGTGAAACCTTCCCTTGTCTAATCTAAGGTTTTGAGGCATGCATAGAAATGGAAATCTTTAGAATCAGAATGCAGTACATTAAGAACAACCTTGACATTAGTGAACCGTTTCAGTATACCTGCAAATTAACCTAGGAGCTACTAATTGAACAAAACATATCGCAACCCTGACCGGCAATATAAAATTGCACCAGTAGCAACATGCGGACACCAGTCTTTATGCAGTTTTCAATAGATATGATAGAAATCATAGAATGTCATGTAAAACGCAAATTAATTGCTATATATACGTATCTATATCATTCCTCGGAAACCATATATTTCGGCTATACTTAAAAAAAAATTGCCAATATATGTTTTGTTAAGAATAACAAACCAATAGTGGATGCAAAGTGAAGTTAACAGTGTTGCGAGAACCAGAAAAAGCATATCAGGTTCAAACGCATGTCACATGGAATACGAAAAAGCTAGTGGAGTTGTTAACAGTTTAATTACACCATAAATCCCATCATATAAAAGACCGGGGTATAGGGGGGATTGATTATGAAAAATAAAAAGCACCTGTCCCAACATATATCGGTGTCGGAAAGAGCTAGCTCTGGCGAGGTGGCGGCGTCGGTTTCCATAGCCGTTTTGGAGATGAGATGGAAGAACCAAGAAAGTTCGAGTAGGTTGGTGGCAGTGGCAGAGCAATGCGTGAGAGCTAGGTGCCAGGGTAATATAAACTAATACTTCGTTTTTTGATTTGGTATATGGGGACTAGCCGACTAGAATAAGAATAGTTTGATTCAAAATGGCGGAAGCAATAATATGTACTGAAATAATTTGATGAATTATATCGCATCAATTATATCACAAGCCATATAAAGCTAACTGTATAATACCACCAAAAAGAAATAAAAATCTAAACATTTGCACAATTTAATGATTATATCAAAACTATTTCATTTTTTTTTTTTGAATGCTCCTACCGAACTCGCAATCTCTTATATAAGAATTCGATCCGGATGTCATCTGTGCATAAGGTGTTTGGCCTATTTCACTTGATACACTATTTTTTTTTTTTTTTGAAAGATGAATATTATTTTCATTTTTTTTTTGTATAATGTATTAAGCTTTCTAATTCATATAACTAAAAGTTACAAATTAAAATAAACTAAACTAAATATAGACCCTTTTTAGTGAAATAGTTAGCCTATAGGTCAATTTTGACTTATTTAACAGTGGAGGCGTTATTGGTTCTTTGTGTTTCAGTAGGTTGAGAAAGTATATGAACAGATACTACATTGTAATAGAACCAGTAGCATTCAAAAAAAAAAAAAAAAAAAAAAACTACTATTAGTTGTCTGATTTGATTTAAAAATAAATATAAGTGTTTGGTTAATTAGCTTTTTGTACTCCAAAATGCTAAAATTCAAAAAGCTACTCAAAACAACTTTTTCAATTAGCTTTTTGAGAAAAGAAATTATCAAACAACTATCAGCTAACAGATAATTTACCAAACACATTTCTACAATCAGCTAATATTATTAACTAGTTATACCATCTAATTAACTAAATCAGCCAACAGCTAACAACCATTTACCAAACAAGGTCATAATATTTTTACAATAGAGTTATTTGCACCTTTGGTCCCACGACTATGGTGTCACTAACGACTTTGATCCACGACTTTCAAAAGTCGCATAACTGGTCCACGACTATTATTTTCTTAGCGAATTTGGTCATTCCAGTGCATTCTCCAGTCAATTTTAGCCATAAATTTTTTTCACCTTTTTCATGTGGGTAATATTTTCTTTTTCCATCTAACCATCGGTAAAAGTATATTTTACCCTTTCATCTTTTCTTAAAAAAAAAAAAATCTTCTTATATTTAACAATATTACAAAATTGGGTACTTAAGATGCATTTGACGATTTATTTATTTTTTGTAATGGTCATAATTGAATAAACAACGTGCAATGTTCACTTTCGCACCTCTATCGCCCGTCAGCATGCTCGACATAAAATATACTTAAACACATAATACACAAATTACGTATACAATTTAACTATTAATTTAAACATTTAATCAACGTCGAACACAGTGACTAATTCACTCGCTGAATTATAAGCACCTCTAATTTAAACTGATTTTTAATTAACATCAAATTTTGAAATTTATTTCCCATTGAGGATTTTACTACTTATCCAAAAACATAATAAGTGTTGATGAATGTTATACCCTTCATTTATGTCCGTTTTTTCTGTTAAGTTTTATGATACATTAAGCTATAAATGTTGTACTATACAATATTTTGGACAAACATATCCCTACCATTATAACTTCCATTATTTTTTCGAATATTACTACCATGCACATGCATCTACCATATATTTTCTTATTTTCAATAATAATAATAATAATAATTTAAAACATTTTTATAAATTTAATATTTATATTTTAAGAAATAATTAACATATAACCCCAATATATAATGTGTATATTATTATTATTATTATTATTATTATTATTATTATTATAATTTACAATAATTTAAATATCTAAAATCTAAATAAATTTAAAATATTAATATTGGGCACCTTTTTTTGCGCATCGCGCATAAGAAATACTAGTATTTATAATGTGTGTTAATTTGTGAGATTTATAGTATGTTACGTATTAGTACATATATTTATAATGTGCATTAATTTGTGTGATTTATAATATGTTATATGTGATAATAATTATTTAAATGGATTTATTATTTGATATAAAAATATATTTTGTGATTTAGTCATGACAAATATTTGTTTTAAAATATACTTTTTATAAATTATTTAGTCAATGTAGTCTACAAATTACAAGTTTATTTAATATTTTATCGTACTCAAATTAATTTAAAAAATTTGAAATTTGATATAACTAGAAGAAAAAATATTTATGAATATAATCCTAAGTATAATAAAGCTATATGGTTTGGAAAGTAATTAATGTTACAATTATTATTTTGGTGAGTAATTATTGTTATAATTATTGTCTCTATCCTTATTAATATAAAATAGCCACAACATCCTTTACTAAAAAAAAAAAAAAAAAAAAAAAAAAAAAACACAACATTTGAAAAATAAAATAGCTATTTTTTTCTCGCCCATAACAAAGGATTACATTTATCCAATTAATGAAGTTATTAAATGTTATGATATTATGATTAAGGATTCCGATTCCTGATTAATAGAAAATATGAAACGATGCAATCTTAATTAAATCTCTGGCTTTAGAATGAAAGTCTATTTGATATGCTTTTGTTATTTATGGTGCTTCTTGGGATTACAATATTAATTAAATTTTTGATAAAAGCCTATTCGATATCTGAAATAGTGCAATTAATGCAAGCCTCTACATATAATTTTTCTCCCTCTTAAATGCTTCAAAGAAATGGCAGAAGCGAGAAGGGATGAAGAAAGCAAATGTTGCGGGCCGTGGGTCAATTATTGGACTTCAGAATTTAAAAAAAAAATCATTTGAACCATAAATAAAAAATTATATATATATATATATATATATATATATGTATATATCGTATAGGTCTTTAATGTTTTTTCTTGATTTCTAAACTTAAGACTTAAAAAAAATACATTTGAATTATCTCCACAAAAAGTAGTCTTGGGCGTATAGAATGACATTTGGGTTTATGGAATGACACGCGCATAAAGAATATATTATATAATCATATAAAAAAAAAACGTGTTCAGTTAGAGTTTAAATTTACTCGTACAAAATTTGAAATTTACTTTCTAAATGTAATTATATTAGTTATTATTCGTAATGTGAAAATTATAATATAGATGAAATACAATTAAGAATAAATCAATGTAATTATGTAAATTCTCTCTATAAGTTTATTTGAATATGTACATAATTAGAGATTATATTAATATTACTCGATGTACAATCTTTCTCATGTTGTATGTATATATACTTGTCAGTTGTGAATGAAAATTGTCTGTGAGCAATTCGTACATTTCTCCCAACTTCTTTTCCCTTACTCTTCTTATATCTACTCTAGGTATGGTTCTTGAGTATTGTTTTACCAGTATGATTATACATAATAATTTCCATGAAGATACACAATAATTTATAACACGTTACCAACACAAATGCTCTATATATAGTGAACAAAATATTATATATTGGGACAATAGCAATTGCAAATTCTCCAACGATCGAAGAAGCCCATCGATAAAAGTCACAAATTTTCTCCAAATCTAATTATTCGTCGCCGGTGATCGAGAGCATCCAAAGAGTGTTGATGATCGTCATTTCATGAAGCTTCCCCTTGCACTACAAGGTTCTCTTCCATGTTTCCCGTATGTCTATCACATTTTCACATCTCGACCTGGATGGCATGTAGAACTCCGTTCGGTTGAGGAGTTGTGGAGTGCCGACGTGAGACAGACCAACAATGGATGGCAGACAGCTAAGCTGAGAGAATACAAATATAATGGAGTGGTTGTTGATTGTTGTTTCATTGACTGTAATATGGGTGACTTCTATTTGCAATGTTCTCCACGCATCTTTGCCTGACTCAAGACTACATTTTTAGATGATAAATGTGTATGTTTACAAATATTTGACATTGCCTATATAGTGTAAACATGTAACCCTTGAGCTCTAGAAGAGTCACGAGGTTGTTATACATAATATTCTCAAGAAGAGTCATGAGATTAGTATACTGAATGTTCACTTTAGTGGCAATCTTGCAAATTGTATCATATTCAATTTCTACATTTATCTTGTAACAATGTTTTTATTATATTAGAACGTGTAGACTTCGAACATTATTATCTCCAAGAGGAGTGATATTCACTTGAATTAATATTGAAGAATGGGTCATGAATTTACAAACAATTGTACCCTTTTTTTTTTTCTTTTTATTTGATTGAGTTTTGATATAATTCTCTTAGTTAAATGTTTTTAACGAGGCAACTAGTACAACGCATGAGCATACATATCATGTACTCTTTTTCTCACCAAGTTTTTTCCACTATATTTTCTAGTGATATTTTTTACGATGCATAAGTATGATACAATAATGTCAAAATAGACAAATTTCAGAAAATACTTAAATAGAAAAATCAAAAAAATCTTGAAAATTATACACTGAATGTTTATGATTGGTTATCTTGATGATTATGCCATAAAAGCTTATGATTGATTTAATTGTACTATGATCTTTTCCCATTAGCTAAGGTTTTTTTCCCCACTGAGTTCTTAGCCTAAGGTTATTAACGAGGCAACCTCGTATGACACATGTATTGAAATACATCATGTACTATTTTTCTCTCGACTAGATTTTTCACACAAGATTTCCTAGCAATATTTGTAATGAGGCATGCATGCAATAAGATAATAGTAAGGGGGGTGTTGTAAATATATATTATTGGCCATTATCCTATGTATAGCTTTCCCATGTATGTATATATATTTAGTTTGTTAGTTGTGAATGAAAACTGTGTATGAGCAATTTCTGCATTTCTTCTATTTTTTTTTTTCCTTACTCTTCTTCACTCTATTCCGAGTAAGATTATTGAGTATTATTCTAATAGTATGATTATATAGAATTTCTATGAAGATACAATAATTTATAACATTATTTAAATATTATAGTTGTAAAACATTTAACTTAAGTAGCGGTGATTTTTTTTTTAGATCGATATTGCGATTAATGGAAAATTAACATTAAATGATTGGTTCTTGTATGAGTATGCAATTTTGAGCAATATTTTATTCCAAAAGTTAAATTTTACGGCATTTTATGTCAAAGTATCAATGGGTCCTTGTATTATATGATTTATTTTATTTTATTTTTGAAAACGATAGAAAAAAATATTAAAGCAAATCTGAAAGGAGAAGATACCCATTTTTCAAGATAGAGGAAGAACCAGCCGCCCATACAAGCACACGAGTCACATGATTTAGTTGTTCTATTTTAAAAAATTGTATAATTCAAGATAATCTTTAATTCTTTAATACCATTATAACTTTTTTTTTTTGAAAACCTAATACCATTATACTTGATCATTAACTTTGAAGATGTAGCGTTAACTTTATCATGGTTATGTTCTCTCAGGGATTGTGAAAATGAATCCAGTTAGGATTTTGTCAATATATATTTTTAAAATTAGTGAAATATTATTTTATTTAAAAAAAATTATATACCGATTGCAACCTGGATGTAACTTGTAAAAAAAAATTAATCGACAAACTTTTAAAAGTAAGTATGTTTAATTAGATTATATTTTAATTAATTGAGAAATTGAGCACTTGAAAGTAGTAGATGAGCATATTTAACACTTGTGTGAAAATGAAATTTGCTCCATAATATCATTATAAATGACTTAAAAATTTTGATTTATCAAGAAACTGTATTAGATCTGAACTAACCCGACCCGTTCAAATAACTGTACGGCCTGCAATGGATTCTTTTGGAGATGATCGCTTTTATATGCTTACAGTCTAGACCAACCTCCTCGCCATACATGCACATTAGAGGTTGTGAAATTTCTATGTTTCCTTGTTTCTGACGATATAAGCGTGCACGTGCACCGTTAGGGTTTCACTCACTCATATACGGCTCCAGTTTTCTCATTTCAATGGCAGTTTCTGAAGAGCGACCACCTTTCTCCTCGGTGATCAAGTCGTAAACCGCCCTGAAGGATCACATTTGTTCACCATGTTCGAAGCACATGTAAATAAATTTTCTCATAAACTCCTTGTCGTTTCATCAACAAATTATTTAATTTCCTGTTGCCGTTAGTTTGTGTATTGTATTATTAATGATCTATAAACAAGGACTTCAAAATAATTATTTCACCGTGTAACTCGAATCAGTGGAATTGCATATGGTTTATTTTTTATTATAATTTTTTTATAACTAATTATTTACTTTATTTATGCGCCGAGTGAAATATTGAAGAAATTGGATATGTGTATTGTATTCTTAATCTGCAAGTAAATGTGATTTGTGCACTGCTGACTTCTTAGGATATGATTGGTGCCAATTATCTAAATTCCAGAGTGCCACATGGGGAGTATATATGCTTTGTATCAATTAAGCTATACTTTGTTACTATGGTTGTAGGTTTTACATTTGCTTCGAAGATATCTGGGTGAATATGTCCATGGACTGTCATCAGAGGCATTGCGAATTAGTGTGTGGAAAGGTGCAACTCTTCCTCCTCAAAATTCCATCCTTTATCCCGCAGACTCCTTATTCATTCCTTAGAGTCTCTGGAGCTTGGATAAAAATATTCAAAGGACTAGTTTCGAGTCCATGAACCTATGTCAATGGGTAGCATTTTATAATATAATTTATAGATTAGTTTTTCCAAGGAATGCATTTCTTTCTAGCTGTTTGTTGTACATGTTTTTTCCTGTGGTTTATGTTATTGCTGAAAATTTCTTTGATAACACTGTTGTTTCCATATAGGTGATGTGGTTCTCAAAGACTTGAAGTTAAAGGCAGAGGCACTGAACTCATTGAAACTACCAGTCACTGTCAAAGCTGGTTTTGTTGGCACTATAACTCTAAAGGTAGTTCTCTACATCTAAATTCTCTTAAATTGTTTTCATACCTCTTACGTACTTTCAACTTTCAACTGCTTTCAGTCAATTGGGTTTCCTCATCTAGAAGTTATATAACTTAAGTATTTATTGTACTGCCATAATTGATCTACTTTCTCATACTCCTTTTACCCTTTCAAATTATTGTATTTTTTCAAATATATTTTATTTTGTTTTTGTTTTTGTTGAGTATTTGACAAATTCATCTCTCTTGTGCATACATTATAAGTGAGTTATAGTAGAAACCGCAAAAAGGTATAACTGAGTAAAGTGAAGTACATAGCACTTAACTGCAGGACTAATACCTTCATCAGATCTATTTACACAAACAATCAAACAACAGACAATATCTACAAAAGACAGTCGCAGAAGCTCTTCACATGTTTTCTTCTGCCTATAGTATAAGTAACCTAAGCAGACATAACTGGCAAGCAACTTCCTTCACTGCTTTCCTACTTAAATACTTCTTAAAGTTGATCCTCTTTCCAAGCTTTTAAGTTTTTGTTTTTATTTTTTAATGTTGTTTATGCTCTACCCTTTATCTTGTTTTGTTGTTATTGTTGTCACTCTCCTCACTTCATTCATTGACTCAAATTTTGTTGTTGAAAACCCCAAGAACATTTGACTAGTTACATGAAAATGAAAAGTCTGTTTCACCTTTAATCATTTGGCATGCTTTTTGAGCAAAGTAGACGTTTAGTTAGGGATGTCAATCTTAGCTTGAAACCGATGGACTGACCCGATAAGCTCGAAAAATTGTAGGGTTAGGGCCAAGAAATATTAGCCCTATAAGCCAGATGGCCTGAACAGGCTAGCCCGATATCCCGAGCCACTGAATCCTACTCTTTATTTCACAAGTGATATGGAACAAAATATATAGGGAAGTTATATGTAATTTCATCTTTAGTAATTTTTATTAAATTTGTAAATGCAATTTTAATAAATTTATTACAAAATAAAATATTTTTTATGAAAATAAATAGTGAAAAAAACTTATTATAATTATTTTATTATAGTGTAAATATATTTATTATTTTTAGTTGGAATTTAGAAATAGAGGTTTATATTTATTGAATGATATATAAGTTTATATTTATTAGTGTAAATGCGCTAATTTATTAAAATTGAAAGTTTTGAATGTTAATTTAAAAATGTCAAAAGTTTTAGTTGAGCCTGTCCGATAAGTCTGACAACATGTGGTTTTAGGGTTAGGGGACTTGGGGCCAAGAATTTTAAACACGACAGGAAAAAAAAACCCCGATTAACCCGAACTGATAAGCCCGACAGCTCTATAGGGCTAGTCCAAAAACAAATGGGATAGGCCAATTGACATCCCTACTTTTAGTTGGTTTATTGTTTGGAGTAACCAACCCCATCCGTTACGTTGCTGACTGCATCTTTCCTTTCCATTTTTTGGTTGATCCTTTACCTTCCCTAGCTTGGTAGTCATGCTAATGTTTTTTGTTTCTTCTATATCTTCTCCTAATCTTCCCTATCTCTGTTTCCCTTTGACTTATATGAAAGCTTTTTGCTGGATCCAAATATTTCAAAAACCAACCAAAAGCTTCCTCTAGGAGTCTATATTCTTTCCATGGCTCAACTCCGAAGATCTTCTGGCAGTATGTTATCTGATTGTGCTAACCTCTCATTTTGTATGTTATCTGCAACCTTTTCTCATTTGGCTTTTATATGATTATGATAAAGGTTATGCTTTCTATATCATATTTTGACACCTTAATGAACGTGGTTGGACTTACTTTTTTTGCTTTTGCATTATTCACTTCCTTTATTATCCATAGTGTTAATCTTTCATGCTGTGCTCATCAATTTAACTTTTAACTTAAATACAGGTTCTTTCATGCTGTGCTCATCAATTTAACTTTTAACATAAATACAGGTACCATGGAAAGGCCTTGGGAAGGAGCCTGTTATTGTTCTCATTGATAGAGTTTTTATTCTTGCTCATCCTGCTATTGTCGGTAGGTCTCTTAAGGTAGGAGGATTCTACTTTTTTCTTGTTGAATTGGTTACTCTTCAATGATATATGCTCAATCCACAGCAGATTGACAATTGTGTTTACTTGTAGGAAGAGGACCGGGAGAAACTCTTTGAGGCCAAACTACAACAAATCGAGGTAACATTGTTTCTATCTTTTATTCTGCAAACTACTCCGTACTAAATATTTGCTTTGAACTCTTTTTTTCAATGGTCATTTCCTACATGAGAAAAAAAATTATAATTTTAAAATGAAAACTGCCCTAGAACTTTGCGTGTTCTTTCATCGAACTATTTTGTCATAGGAAATTTATTGTTGAAATTAATGGATTATTGGTATGGAATAGGTGAGTTGCTGAGTTTGTTTACGTAATAAATTTCCCAGCACCTTTGAAAGAAGTGAGATGCTGAAACCATACAAGTGAAGGGAATATGAATCTTTTGAGTCCTTAAATATGCTTAAGTGTTGCTTTTTGACACTTTTTTCCAAAATCTAGTTTTATAGTTTCCTGGACGGGTATAGTGTTTTTGGTTGCTAGTTAGTTTGTCATTGCTGTTTAAGTGTTTATATATATATATATATATATATATATATATATATATATATATATATATATATATATATATATATATATATATATATATATATATAAATTGTGCAAACTCTTTCCTTTTCTTGTACATTTGATGTCTTTCCATGCAGGAAGCAGAATCGGCCACCCTTGAAGCGCTATCAAGATCAAAGCTTGGAGGAAATGTATGATTTCAATTTTTATCGTAATTTGCTGTCATGTTTTCGTCTAATTGTGCTGAGCTATATATGTTTGACCCAGCCTATTTTGAATCTTAATAACTCCAAAAGGATTAAAGTTGAGCCAAATATTAATTGTTGAGAAAAAACTTCTTGAGTAGGTAAGATGAAAAATCTAACCTCTTGTAAGCCATTAGCCTCAGTTTGAGGCTTTTCAAATAAGGCATCTTTTAATAAACCTTGACAATTTAATGACACTTTTGAAGTTTTGCATATCTCCCTAAATTTTAAAAATGTTATATTCTGATCTAATAGATGTGTGCGTTGTGCCCTTTATTGTAATTCTGACCATCATCAATATTACTCATTTACTTGTAACTGAGTTTTAATAGTTAAATATCCAAATTCCTCTCCTGTCACTCTGTCAGGCTAACACATTGGAAACTTTTTAAACTGGTATTTAAAAGCCCTTATCAAATAGATCTTTTTTGAGAAATTTCAGCTAGGGAAAACATGCTCATTAATAGGCCTTACAGTATACTATTGGATTTAAATGGCTATTAGAAGCATAGCACAAGTGATATTTATTATTATTATTATTATTATTATTATTATTTTTATAATAATTATTATTAAGTTTCTTATTAAAATTTAGACAACTTGCATGAACCTCCAGGCAATTGTATGGACCGTATGGTAACTCTAGGTATTGGTGGCATTACCTTTTATTAGTTGCTTCTTTTTTAATTTGTTCTTATTTTCCTTTTCAGCCAGCTGCTGGAAATTCCTGGCTGGGATCATTAATTGCAACTATAATTGGAAACCTCAAAATCACAATTAGCAATGTTCATGTCAGATATGAGGATCCTGTCAGGTTGATTTGTGTTTGTTGCTTGAAACTTTGGGAATCTTTTGCAATGAACTAATAGTTTATGCTCATTATTTTCTTGTGGAGATATCTACTGTTCACTGCTTTCTACTGTTTTTGAATAATTTTGGGGTTGCTTCCTTTTATTTATTCTATTGGCCTTTTTTCAAATAGCAATCCGGGGCATCCATTCTCTTTTGGTGTTACTCTTGCAAAGCTTGCTGCAGTTACGATGGATGAGCAAGGCAATGAAACATTTGATACAAGTGGTGCTTTGGATAGATTACGCAAGGTTAGGTCCATAATCTTTTGAAGATTCTCTGGTATTTAAAATGCTAGTGCAGATTTTGATATGTATCCTTTTGCATGTAGTATGTGCAATTGTGCAGTAGGATTTTGATTTTGGATTGGGGAAAAATGAATCATACGTATTACATATATAGAAATGGAAATTACCAATACTACATTTCTACGTTAGCAACTTAAATGTAGTCCTGGTAAAGTCAATGTCTATACCCGATTAACATTGTTTCTACACACTTCAAAATGCTGGAGCATATTGAAATCCCTTGCTGAGAGCATGTTAAAGGAAATATGGAATCAATGTTTTCTTTGTTCCACTAGCTAACGGAATTATATCTCCATCACTATCAGAGCTGCCTGGTATCTTATGTCCTTAACTTATGTTGCATCACAAAATGAATATGATCTTGTATGTTCATGCCTTTATGAGTTTTAGTTTTCATATGCCTATATATAATCAGGCTATGGCCTGAAATTTTAATTGGATGCCTGAATTTGATGAACATTGTTGTTGTAGTTGGTTCAACTTGAAAGGCTTGCTGTGTACCATGATACAAACAGTGACCCCTGGAAGTTTGATAAGAAATGGGAGGATTTTACTCCTGTAGAATGGATTGAGGTACATTCATATACTCGATGTTTGCCTTCTATTGTACTAGTATGTCTGTTGCTTTATCACCCCCTCTGTCTTTCTTTGACACTCTTGTTTTTCCTTTTAGATCTTTGAAAATAGCATTAATGAATCAATGAAGAAGAATACAACTATGTCTGCATGGGCTAGGAAGCATAATTACTTGGTATCTCCAGTCAATGGAGTCCTTAAGTATCATCGTTTGGGGAACCAAGAAAGAAATGATACTAATGTTCCTTACGAGCAGGCTTCCCTGATTGTCAGTGATGTTTCTTTGATGGCTACAGAGGTGCTAAACATTGACAGTTGTGCTATTTCAGATTCCATGAAAATTATGCTTAATTAATTGCTTTACAACTGTTGGCTTCTTCATGTTTTTCTAATTGAAGGCAATTTGAAACAAATATAAAAAGGAATATTCAAAATCCAAATTTAGAAATCCTTTATTCGTGATTCGCAAGGAGCTGGATGAGAAGAAACTCTCACGTCCGGGAGAAATTGATGTTAAAATAGTTGGTTTAGGGAAACCTTAATATTAATATTAATATAATAAAAGAAATGTCAGAAGGTAATTTCTTTAATTATACAAAAACAAAATCAAATACTACAAAAACTGCAAGATAAAGTTAATGTAATTGAAATTCCTCGCTGATTTGAGAATCCTGCCAGTTTGAATGCTCTCTCTTCTATTCTGCCTTTTTTTTTGGTTGAGGGAATGGCAAAATTTTTTCCCTTTCTTGCTCCTGTTTTCTTATTTTTCCCCTGGAAGTAAGTGGAATATAATTTTGTTGTATTGCAGTCACAATATCATGACTGGATCAGACTTGTGGAGGCTATTGCAAAATATAAGGCATATGTAGAAGTATCTCATTTAAGACCAATGATTCCAGTTTCAGAGAGACCTAGTTTATGGTGGCGTTATGCTGCCCAAGCTGGATTGCAGCAGAAGAAAATGTGGTAAGGGCGTAAGGCATTGGAATTTAGTGATTGAACATTTTCTAAAATGGGAGAAATCAAATGCATGTGGCATTATTGCCCTATTGTTTATATAAAATTCTATTTCTGAGTTCTGTTACATGCGTAAGATTATGCCTTAGATGAGGTTGTTTATTTATTTATTTCTTTGTATGTCATACCAACTTTTCTTTGTCAACTAATTGGTTATTTGCACCTTTTACAGTTATAGATTCTCTTGGGATCAAATTCAGTATCTGTGTAATTTGCGCCGGCGTTATGTACAGTTGTATGCTGAATCATTGCAACAGCTGTCACGTGTTGATAACTCCAAGTTAAGAAGCATTGAGAAGGATCTTGATCCCAAGGTCATTCTATTGTGGAGGTATGTGGTTATTTTGTTTTCCATTCATAGGTTCATAATGCTCCAAGACAAGATATTTGATGCAATTTGCATCTCTTTTAGGTTCCTTGCCCATGCAAAAGTGGAATCTGTCAAATCAAAGGAAGCAGCTGAACAAAGACTGCTTAAAAACAGAAGCTGGTTTTCATTTACATGGTTTGTTGTATTTCTTAATTGATATGCTGCCATTTGTTTCATTTCTCTTTATTCTTAACAATATCTTTCTCCTCAAGAAGGCAACCTTTCACCATGCTTAGGTGTAATCATTGCTTTTTTATGTTGTCTAATATTTTTACTGCCAAATCAGGCGAGCTTCTTCTCAAGATGTCTCAGCTGGGGAGACTTCTGAGGAATCAAAATCTGTAGAGGATAGATTGACCAAGGAGGAATGGCAAGCTATCAATAAATTGCTCAGTTACCAGCCAGATGAGGATGTGACACTGCAACGTGGAAAGGAGATGCAAAATACGACAAACTATTTGATCAATGTTTCTATTGGTAGGGCAGCGGCAGCGATTATCAATGTTGATCAGACAGAAATTCTTTGTGGCAGATTTGAAAATCTTAATGTGTCGACTAAGTTAAAGCATCGAACCATACACTGTGACGTCTCATTAAAGTTTTATGGACTGTCTGCTCCTGAGGGTTCCCTTGCTCAGGTTTTTTTTTTTCCTCAGCACTCATGCTTGTAATTTGTATACTGTTCTTTGTTTATGACTTTATAACAAAATAACTGTTTTAATACTTTTGTTATTAAAAGCTTTAATTTCAAGCCTAGAAAGAAGACACAACGCTAGCAGTAAGCTAAGTACTTAGAATTTGTTTGTAGAATTTTCATGTATTCATATCCACATGCTTGTCAAGGTGTAGATTTGGGTTGAAGAGTTTCTTTAGTAATTTGTATTCTGGAAAAAGCAAAGCAAAGAAACGATGGTAGCAATAAGCAAAATACCAATGAGTGTTTCTGTGGAATTTTCATGTTTATGTATTTGCCTGCTTTTATTAAGGTAGTAATTTGCATTGCAGAGTGCCTATAGTAATTTGTGTTCCAACAGCAGCATTAGTACCAATGAGTGATTGGGTATTATAATATTATATTCATGTTTACATGTGCACATGTTTTTTTTTTTTTTTTTTTTTTTGAAAATAAATAAGTATTTTGCATTTGCAGAGTGTCTGTAGTGAGCAAAAAGTAAATGCATTAGAAGCTAGTTTTGTGCATTCACCATCTGGAGAAAATGTTGATTGGAGGCTATCTGCAAGAATTTCTCCGTCTCATGTCACAGTGAGTTATTACTTTTCCTTCTTTTAGTAGACTTGCAGCTATTCACTAATGGGCCTTTTTCTTGTCATGAAAAAAAATTCGAGGAAAAGTAAACATATTTACTGGTAGAATGTTTCACGGGGAAATGGTTTTTTAGTGTTCAGTTAGGTTGCATTTGTCCAAAAGTAAAACAAATTAAAACTCCAAATTGCCCATTTATCTTCTTTTCTAAAACAAAAAAAATCAACGATTCAAAAAATTTAATTGTCAAATCCAAGCCTCATTTCATGAACTAGTTGGAGATGGGGATAGCATGGATGGTGGAGTGGGGGAAGATGGTTTTATGACAATGAGTTAGTGAGTGGAGGGGCCAGGTTTGTAGCTTCGGGGGAGTGGAGAAGTAGATAGTGTGGCTGGTGAAGGGGATCACATAGTGGTATGGATCAAAGGGAAGGGGGTTATAGTGGTGCATGAGCGTGGGGTGGGGGGGGGGGGGGAGTGTGATTGTAGGGGGTGTGAGGGAAAAGGTGGCCACATAGTGGTGAGAGTAGGGGAAAGAGATCAATGAATGGTGGTTGCTGTTTGGGGGGAATGCAGTGTTGGTTTTTGGGAGGATGTCAACAACACTGGGGAAGTGGAGCAAAAGGGTTGTCAAGACAACTATAAAACATGATGAGGCTATGAGATGGTGAGGGTTGTTGGAGAATGGAGAAGTATTTGGTCCATAAAATATTTTACACTTCTAAAAAGGGAGTAAGATCCAAGCACTTTCACGTATTGTTCACTTTGTGTAAAAAAGGTGTAGGTTTTGCTTTTATTTAGGATACACAAAACACAACATTTTATTTATTCTCAATAACTTCTAAGTGTTATGTATTGTTATTTGATTTTGCATGTAATTTGATAGGTTTTCATGGAAAGTTATGATCGGTTCTTAAACTTTGTAAAGCGGAGCAATGCAATTAGCCCAACTGTTGCACTAGAAACTGCAACTGTGCTCCAGGTGATACCATCATGCATTGAGCTTGGTGTAATACAAATTCTGCTGTCATGATGGAATTATGTTTTGCTAAATGCTAATGCTCTAGCTTATAAAAAGTGCAGAATAAAATTGAAAAAATGACTCGGAGAGCTCAGGAGCAATTTCAAATGGTATTGGAAGAGCAGAGCAGGTAAATCGTTGCAATTAGCTCACCATTTTTACAATTTTTCTTGGTCTATTTGTTTTATTAGCCTTTTTGATTGGTTGGTTGCTTGATTGAGGTGTGGAATTTCTTGTTTATATCATTTTTCCTCCAGATTTGCTCTTGATATCGACCTGGATGCTCCAAAAGTTAGAGTTCCTATGAGATCACTTCTCTCCTCTAAATGTGATGGCCATCTCCTTTTGGACTTTGGTCATTTTACTTTGCAAACTAAGGTGTGTTAATTTTATGAAATTCTAACTGGCTTTTTTGTATTGCATTACTGTTGCTTAAATGATTTTTCTTGGTTCTAGGAGGATGGCCAATCCCAAGACCAGGGACAAAGTTTGTATTCTCGCTTTTTTATCTCAGGAAGAGATATGGCAGCATTTTTTACAGATTGTGGTTCAGATAATCAGACCTGCTCTTTGGCATGTCAACCTTCTGATTCTCCAAGTTTGGAAGATGCCAATAATGTATATTTTCTTGTTGATAGATGTGGAATGGCTGTAATTGTAGATCAGGTATGAGAGAGAAAGTGTCTTTAAATTGTTTAAACACTGATCATATAATAACTACAATCCCCACTTTTCTCATGTTCTAAATTATGAACTTCATGTTTCTCTTGAAGATTAAAATTCCCCATCCCAGCCATCCTTCAACACGTGTCTCTGTTCAAGTTCCAACTATTGGAGTTCACTTTTCACCAGCCAGACTTTGCAGATTGATGGAATTGTTAAACATACTCCATCATACAATTCCAGATGCTGAACAGCTTCCTACTGTTGAAAATACTGAGGCTGAACTTTCTCCCTGGCATTCACCAGATCTAGCAACTGATGCTCGGATCCTTGTATGGAAGGTACGGAACTGCTCTGTAAATTGTGCCTTATTCAAATAATCATCTTGTCTTACAATAGGCCTTACATGTTCTTGATTCAGGGGATTGGGTACTCTGTTGCTGCTTGGCAATCATGTTATCTTGTGCTATCTGGATTGTATCTTTATGTCTTAGAGTCTGAGGGGTCCCGTACTTACCAAAGATGCTCAAGGTACCCCATTTTAGTTTCAAGTGTTCTTATATTCCATTATTTAAAGTTCTCAAGGTATCCTTATGCCTGTTTTCTCCTCCTCCGAAGTTGAACACATCCTATTTCTGCTCTGGAAGTTTATCTTCTATTTAAAGTCATTGAGTTCATTCCACTTTTGGTTACACCACTATGGAGACATTTTCACTTATACTTTTATTTATTTATTTTTTTGCTTTTAGTCATTGACAATAAAAAATGTTCCACTTTTAGTCTTAAATGCCCTAAAAGTGGAATAAACTACAAAGTCATTTGATACATGTAGAGATAATTTTTTTGAGTCTTTTCATTCTCGTGATTTTAGTTGACTTTCAGTGGAAGTGTTATGAGAATTTAAATTCATATATTTCTAAAATGTTCAATACTGCAGCATGGCTGGTAAACAAGTGCTTGAAGTTCCCCTGACAAATGTTGGGGGTTCCGCTTCCTGTATTGCTGTCAGTGCCAGAGGCATGGATCTACAGAAGGTAGGTGAATTTCATTATTTTCCTTTGTGCATTGATTCCCTGCTCTTATATAAATTTTGGAGCCTAATTTGTTCTATTTGATATTATAAAAGTTGAAAGTTTTACAATAACATATTGCTTGACATGTGCGTTAATACTGTATTTACAATGTTGTCCAAGGATTTATCTCATTGACTGAACATTGTGAGGTTGATTTATATTCCACTTGCTTCGTTTTTGTTGAAACCCTAGGCCCGTTACAGTGGGTCCATTAGGTCATAGCTTGTCCTGTATAAATTATTGTGTTCTGGACAGCACTATGATGAGAAAATAGATGAAACCCTTCACTCTTTCACATGGTATCAGAGCCTAAACCCTAAATAATATTTCCCCTTTCTTTCCCGCCGCTGCGCCGCCACCGGAGTTCACTGCCGTCACGACTGTTTTTGCTTTCCGACGTTTGCCTGGTGGTTCTTATCCCAAACCAAGACCATAGGCCTCACCGGAGCCTCGTCGCGAGCCAGAGCCCAAAGACCGGTCGTCGTTTGCTGCCGCACGCGCCGCCCGCCGTCGCCGAGATCCGCCGCTGTTTTTCCTGCCAGATCTCCTTCCTCTGGTCTCCGATCGAGACGCCGTCACCACCGTTGGACTCGTCTCGACAAGACGCTTCCGGCAGTGTTGTCCGTTTTCCCTGCCGCTGCCGACTGCCGCCGCCGATCACCACCGGCCAGAAAACAGTAAACAGTGTCCTGGTACTCTCTTGATATACCTTAGAACACGAACAACAACATCCCAATGAGAATCACAAGGAGTCTCAAGAAACTGACTCAACACACTAACTGCGAAAGAGATATCCGGTCGTGTGATTGTGAGATAATTCAGGTTTCCAATTAATCTCCTATATCGCTCTCGGTCAGGCAATGGCTCCCCCTGTCCTGGTAGGAGTTTAACATCGGATCCATTGGATTATCAACCGGTCTACTGTCCAACATGCCAGTTTCTTCTAAAATATCCAAGGCATACTTCCTTTGAGAAATAACAACACCACTGCTAGATTGAGCCACTTCAATTCCAAGAAAGTATTTCAGCTTGCCCAAATCCTTGGTCTGGAACCGACTAAAGAGATACTCTTTCAACTGAGATATGCCCTCTTGATCACTTCCTTTAATAACAATGTCATCCACATATACTACAAGATATATGTATTTCCCATTAGAATGACGATAGAAAACTGAATGATCAACCGCACTTCTAGTCATACCAAACTCACACACCACAGAACTAAACCTTCCAAACCAAGCCTGTGGAGATTGCTTTAAGCCGTATAAAGAACGGCGAAGTTTACATACCAGACCAGACTCCCCCTGAGCAACAAACCCAGGTGGTTGCTCCATATAAACCTCCTCGTGAAGATCACCATGTAGAAAGGCATTCTTGATATCCAGCCGGTGTAAGTCCCAATGATGAATGGCTGCCAAAGACAAAAGCAATCGAGCTGAAGCAATCTTAGCAACAGGGGAAAATGTATCAGTATAATCCAAGCCAAAAATCTGAGTATAGCCTTTCGCCACCAGTCGTGCCTTAAGGCGATCAATTGCGCCATCAGGGCCCACATTTACCGTATAAATCCACCTACAACCAACAACAGTTTTACCAGGAGGAAGAGGAACCAACTCCCACGTGCCACTGGACTGGAGAGCCTCCATCTCTGCTAACATGGCTTGACGCCAACCTGGATCCGAGAGAGCCTCACGAGTGGATTTGGGTATGGACACAGAAGACAGGTGAGAAAGGAATGCAAAGTAAGGAGAAGAGACACGATAATAACTCAGAAAGGTATATATAGGATGGGGGTTACGTGTACCTTTACGAACAGCATTAGGTGCCTCAGCTCCCTCAATTGAGCCTATTGGAGAATCATCGGTTCTAGCTACTCGGGCTACGGATAGAGGACCCTCCGGACCATCTAGTGGTAGTGGTGTTCGTCGTGGCAGACGTCTTCGGTGTGACTACTGTCACAAAGATGGTCCTACCAAAGATCGTTGTTGGAAGTTACATGGTCGACCTCCCCGTTCTGCTAATCTGGTCCAGGCCACTGCATCCGAGAGTCAAACTCATGAACCAAGCTCTACTCCAATTGAGATGACCCCTAGGGAGTATGAAGAGTATCTCCAGCTTAAAGCAGCATCCCGCCTTGACTCTTCCACACCTCCAATGAATGCTGGTACTTCATCAAGAGAGAAGATTGTGTCAGGGTGCATTAAAACTAGCTTTGTCAATTCTGCAGATCAGTTAGCTGATATCTTGACAAAATCTCTTAGAGCTCCTAGAGTTGAATATATTTGTAATAAGCTTGGAGCATATGATCTATACTCTCCAGCTTGAGGGGGAGTGTTGAAACCCTAGGCCCGTTACAGTGGGTCCATTAGGTCATAGCTTGTCCTGTATAAAATATTGTGTTCTGTACAGCACTATGATGAGAAAATAGATGAAACCCTTCACCCTTTCACAGTTTTGTTACTTGACTCCCGTTTCATTCATCTTTTTAAGTCAAAGACACAATCTTGCATGCATTTAGTTAGCTAATTTGAAAAGTTTAGGTCCTTTCTTCAATAAATAATTATTTTTGGGTAAAGAAATGTGATTTCTGCAGTATCCGAGCCATGTCTTTGCTTCTCTCTCTTTTATGGTTTAATTAGATGTTCATTTTCCATTGTTCTTTTACAGGCCTTGGAGTCATTTAGCACACTGATAATAGAGTTTCACGATGAAGAGGAGAAAACTACTTGGTTGAGAACACTTGTACAAGCTACCTATCGTGCTTCTGTAAGATATAAGTTCATAATTAATACTCTCTCTATCACATTTTACCTGTCTTGTTTATTATTCACGGGTCAATCCAACTCTATTACGAAAAATTGAATTGTAAATAACTTTAGTCAAGCCACGTTAATCGAACCAAAAACATAAAATGGGACGAAGGGAGTATGTTTCTTATTTTTCTTTTCATATTCCTTACCTTTATTTTGTTTAGCATTGGAATGCTCCTTATGTTCGATGTGTTTGGATATAGGCTCCTCCATCAGTTAGTATACTTGGAGAACTAAATGATGATGCATTAGAACTTGCTGAGGCTCGTGCTTTAAATACAAAGATGGCTGAACTTGTTGTTAATGGAACATTGGTAGAGATGAAGCTATCATTGTATGGGAAGGTGAGGTGGCTCAGTAATTTTTTTTTTTTTTTCTTTTTTTCCATTAGTGACTCTCACACGTCACAACCTTTCTTTAGCTTTTATGTTTTGTTGAATGTATTTTATATGGTTGCTGCCATACTGGTGAGGAGTTTTTCTCTTTTGGCAAATGCTGTAGGGTGTTTTAATACACTATGTGATAATGGTGCATTTCATCTAATCCTTTTTATCAATTTGTAGACAGGAGATGAGATAGAAGATAGAGATGACGAGACACTAATCCTTGAGGTTCTTGCAGCTGGTGGAAAGGTTTGGGCTATCTATGCTTTTATGCTGTCTTGAGTTTGGATACAAGTCTCCCATGGGAGTTATTATAAAGTCACTTATGCATGTGAGCATAAGCAGACAATGAAATTATCTGTCAAGTGACAAGTGCTAATGAAACTTGGAAAAAAAAAATTCAGCTAGGAATGATCCCTAATATATAACCAAGTCTCGGTGTGGAATATCTGCACAGCTGTGTGCTGATTCTCTTCCTTAAGAAAGTTGATAGATAATGTGTTATGTGTCTTTATCTGATAATTATTTTTCTTTTGATAAATTTATTAGTGGGTACTCAAAGTTGTAAATTATTGTCCGAGTAGATTGTATTGTGCTCCCTCAGTATAATATCCCTCTGGGTTTAACAGCTTACAGTAATTCTATTGGTGATGTTGAAAATTTGGCTGTAGTTAAGTTTTTTTATATGTGATAATTGTCTCTGTATGTTAGTGATATCAGTTCTACATTCCCTCTGGTATATATAGAAGCTCCCTATGACATTCTTTTTATGTGGTGCCTGTATTTTTCTAGCTATCTATTTGTGAATAATAACACCACCTTCTCTGAAGCTGAGAAGTGTATGTACTTGTGCAGGTGCATGTTTCACAATGTAGTGGTGACTTAACAGTAAAGATAAAATTGCACTCACTGAAAATTAAGGACGAACTTCAATATTCTTCATCTTCAAGTCCACAATACTTGGTCTGCTCTGTTCTGACAGATAACTCTGCAATTACTTCACCTGATACAATGGAATCTCATGGCAAAGAGATGTCTTTCATGACAAGGGAAGAGGATGATGAATTCACGGATGCCTTACAAGATTTCTTATCATTGCCTGATTCTGGTGAAGCCGTTACCCCGGAGAAGGATTCAGTGAAGGGAAGAAGTGCCTTTAGTGAAGTATTCTACGAAACACAGGGCTCCGATGACTCTGATTTCGTCTCTCTTTCATACTTAACACGACACCCTAGCTCTCCTGACTATGATGGTATAGATACACAGGTAATTTTCATGAGCATTGACTAAGGCAGAGAGGAAGGAAGATAGATAACAAACTCATATAATAGTACAATGACTTGCTGATTACTTTTCCAATAAAGTTTTATTGATAAACAGTTTAATTCCATGTTATATTTCATTGTTTCAGATGAGTATTAGTATGTCCAAGTTGGAATTCTTTTGCAACAGACCAACTCTTGTTGCTTTGATCAATCTTGCCGTTGATATGAGTTCTAAAGGTAGTGAAGTTACTGGTAAAAACGTCACAAAAGATCCCGATAGTGAATCCTCTATGAATAAAGAGAAGATAGAAGATCATGGGCATAAATATGTCAGAGGTTTGCTGGGATATGGAAAAGGTCGTGTTGTATTTAATTTGAACATGAATGTTGACAGTGTTGCAGTTTTCCTTAATAAAGAGGATGGTTCTCAGCTTGCAATGTTGGTGCAAGAAAGTTTTCTGCTTGATGTTAAGGTGGGGTTATTTTGTGACTTAAGCATTTCATTGTAAAAATCTGAGAAGTTACTAGCTCCAATTACAATCTTTTTATTATACTATGACCCAAAATCCTTTTCCCTTAATTTTTCTTTACACTATTCTTATGATTAGGTTCATCCTAGTTCAATTTCAATAGAAGGCACTCTAGGAAACTTCCGACTTTGTGATCTGACACTAGGGTCAGATCAGCGATGGGGATGGCTTTGTGATATACGCAATCAAGAGTCGGAATCACTTATTCAGGTACTAATAGTTTCTTTTTATATTTGAATTAGAGAAGGATATCCATAATGCTATCTTTAGAGTTTTTGCTGCCTGCAAGTTGTCCAGGTGAAGCTTATATGAGTTTCGCTCCTTTTCTGCCTGTTTCATTATAGCTTTATTCTAGACAGGAGAAAACGATTCCTGTCTGATTCTGTTTGAGCTTTATCTAAAACAGAGAAGCTTGATCTAAAATGTGTAAGTGTTGGTATGAAAAGCTTAAAAGAGGGTGTCATGTAATATTTTTTCATTTTTTGTGTGGGGGGGTGGGGGGTGCTGTGCACACTATATGACTTGAGAAGTATAATATTATCCACAATAACTGGCAATAAGAGGTTGCTTATTTAATGTTATCAAAACTGACATAATACACTGATAAAATAACCCGCATATTGTTCTATATTTTCAGGAAAGTTGGGGTTATTAAGATGCACCAAGAAATATTTTAAGTTCACAAGAGTATTATAGATAAACTTAGAAATTTCCACTTTCCCACTACCACATACACACATGAAAAGCCTCTCACGCTCGTGCAAACTCTAATATAACACTGATACTGCCTGTGTCTCAGTTTGCATTTAACTCTCACAATTCCGAAGATGATGATTATGAAGGGTATGATTATAGCTTACGTGGCCGACTTTCAGCAGTTCGAATAGTTTTCCTGTATAGATTTGTTCAAGAGGTGAGCTTATCAATTATTTACATTGTATTGCTACATGTTTTACTTTTATTTTGTCTTTTTCATGAAATGTTCTCTCCTTTTCTTCCTTAAATAATTAGTCAAAGCTGGAAAAGACTAGAGAGGTCCTTCTGTCTTTATATCTGGATAAAAGTGGGTTTACTTGCATTTTTGTGGTATAAGCTTGAATGAGAAAATTAACACTTCTGATATGAAATGTAATGACAGCCTGCTCAATGACATAATTGGGAGTGGAAGTGTTGGCCATGTTTTGGAACTGACTGATTCCAATATGTGCTTCTACAGATTACTGCATATTTTATGGGGCTTGCTGCTCCACATACTGAGGAAGCTATTAAGCTTGTTGATAAAGTTGGAGGGATTGAGTGGTTGATAGAAAAATATGAGATTGATGGAGCCTCTGCAGTAAAGCTGGATCTTTCACTGGATACTCCTCTAATAATTGTACCAAGGAATTCCACAAGCGAAGAGTTAGTGACTATCCGAACCACATTAACTCTTTTAACTCCAGACCTTCAGATTGTTTATGATCTCTCTTGAACAGAAGCATTTTGACTTGTTTCACCTTGTTCTAGTCTAATATGGACCTTTTTTGTCATAAAAAAAATGAGGACGCACACAAAATTTGTTTGAAGGATATTGTTTTCCTATGCATGCTTTAGCCAACCTCCTCTCTTCTCCTAGTTTTTCTTTATGAATATGTGGAATCATTATTTTGGAACTTCATTGCATTACTTTTTTCCCAGCTGAACTTCTATGTAGATTTCCTATTTTCCTTTCATTGTGAATTTGTTTATTTTTCATGTTTTAAGCATGAGCTTCAACACACACACATTTCAACTGAAACATGAAGTATGCTTTTTTATTTTTATTTTATTTTTTATAAATGTTTTTTTTAGTCTAAGATCAGTTAATAATGCAGGTTCATGCAACTTGATCTTGGCCATCTTCGAATTGAAAATGAAGTTAGCTGGATTGGATCTCCTGAAAAAGATCCTTCTGCAGTCCATGTTGATGTTCTTGATGCTGAGGTATTTACGTTTGTTGTTTATAATTAAAAAATAGGGCTTGACTGCAGCTATTCTTATATGTGTTGCAAATTGCAGATTCTAGGTATTAATATGGCTGTTGGAATTGGTGGACGTATTGGCAAACCAATGATACGTGAAGGCAGAGACATTCATATTTATGTGCGCCGCAGTCTACGGGATGTGTTCCGAAAGGTTCCTACATTTGCATTGGAAGTTAAGGTTGGTCCTTTCATCCAATGTTTCCCTCTATCAATAATTTTAAATTTCAGTAAACCTGTTTTTATTTATTTTTGAAAATTTCCCGTTATCTGGTTTTCATGATTTCAATTGCCTGTTTGTGCATAAATGGCTGTGTGTAGCACAGTTAAGTTATGCAAATGATTCCAATTGCCTGTTTGTGCATAAATGGCTGTGTGTAGCACAGTTAAGTTATGCAAATGATTCAGCTATACTTAGAAGGATTTGGGTTATTATCATGTTAACTTTTACTTACAAAAAGATTAACAACATGGTGTTAACTAAGCATGTTAGTTAAGCATGGTTAGTATATGTTTGGCATGTTCTTAGATTCATCTTTTGTGATGCACTTTTATACATGCCAAACTGATAGTGTCTAGACACTTCCAACACAAGTATGTTTTTTTTGAAAGGATAAAGGCTAAGGTTTGATGCCATTGAAATGCACAGTTGCTTAAACCTCTCCCTTTTTGGTAAATTTACTATTACAATGTCATATAACTTTTCTCTTTTTTATTTTTTATTTTTTATTTTTTATTTTTATTTAATTTTATTAATTTAAAATTTTGGCTGTGCTAATGTGTCATAACAAGTGTTGCACTAAGAATTAAATGTTTGCAGTAGGGCTTGTCTGTATGTATATATTATGATTTTTCTTTCTGAAACAGATTGGCTTGCTACATTGGGTGATGTCAGATAAGGAATACAATGTTATTCTAGATTGTATCTGCATGAACTTGTCTGAGCCACCTAGACTTCCACCTGTTTTCCGTAGCAACAAATCTACTTCAAAAGATACAATACGGTTGCTAGCTGATAAAGTGAACATGAATAGTCAAATACTCCTGTCACGGACAGTTACTATAATGGCTGTTGAAGTGGGTTATGCCTTGCTGGAGTTATGCAATGGCGTCCATGAGGAATCACATTTAGCTCATGTTGCTGTGAGTATGCATCTTATTTTGTATGTGGTTTATAGTTCTGAGCATGTCAATCCGAGGAGTTATTGCAGTTACAGTTGGATTCTTAGCAAGTTCAGTGTATCTTTTCTTTTAAAAGTATCTTGTCTGGTGTTATATGCTCCTTCTATCTCATTTTAATAGGTCATTTCAAAATATTGTCCACTTTCCTAATTTGAACATTGCTAGTTTTTTAGTTTTCCCAATTTACCCTTAAAAAAAAAAGATTAGAGGGGCAAAATTTAAAGGAAGTGGCATTTTATATATTTTCTTAAAAACCATGTCAAGCACATATAAGACTTTTCTGATGTAATTGCTTATTGCAGCTTGAAGGTCTTTGGGTGTCATACCGCATGACTTCTTTGTCTGAAGCTGATCTTTATGTTACAATCCCCATGTTCTCTATTTTAGATATTCGCCCTGATACAAAACCTGAAATGCGTCTGATGCTTGGATCATGCACTGATGTTCATAAACAGATGTCACCTGATGCGCATGTTGAGCTTCCAACCTCAACAATGTTTTTGATGGATTGTCGATGGCGAATGTCATCAAAATCATTTGTTGTTCGGATTCAGCAGCCTCGTATTCTAGTTGCTCCTGATTTCTTACTTGCTGTCTGTGAGTATTTTGTTCCATCTTTGGGAACAATAACTGGTTGGGAAGAAATGATGGATCCTAAAAATGATCCAATTGTAAAGAACAGCAGCATAGTTCTGTCTGCTCCATTTTACAAACAGACAGAAGATATAGTGCACTTATCCCCTAGTAGGCAGTTAGTAGCTGATGCTGTAGGTATTGATGAATACACATATGATGGTTGTGGAAAAACCATTCGCCTCACCAGTGAGGAGGTGAAAGAATTCCATTCTTCCGAAGCTAAATATATTATCATTGTTGGAAGGGGCAAGAGGTTGAGATTTGTGAATGTGAAATTTGAGGTACTATTATTTCCTCATCTATTTGATCTCATTACATATTCTTTCTTATTAATGATATATTCTTACTATGCATTGTGAAAGTTGAGAAGTGTCTTCTATGCGGCCTACTATTTGTATAAGTATGAATTTCTACTATGTTATTTGCTTCTCGCATTACCTTTCATAAATTGATCAACTCAAGTTCTTCATTTGCTCAGCTTACCTTGAACCTTAGGTCCAAATTTTCAAATTTAAAAATAAATCTTCAACAAGATGTAAATTTTAAACATACCAACTTGAATAAAATTAAGCCATAAACCAAGTAGGCAACATAAAATAATACTGGGAATTGGAGGAGACAATACTGGGTGATTTTATTTAGTTATTTATTTATTTTGACAAAAAGATACTTCAGGTTTGTTTCAGTTTTTGGTTTTTCTAGGTTGGACCAAAGACAATCCCCCAATAGTAAAGAGTTAACAGATTAAAAGCCTATGTCACTCTGGAACTGAATAATCAAGTCAAACAAATCAAAATAGATCAATTTTATTATGTTGATCATTTCTTTAAGATCGTAGTTTGGATGACCTTATGTGGTGCCCTTGTTAATGATTTGTGCGTTTCACTTGTTCTTTGTTCAGAATGGCTTGCTATTGACGAGGTATACATATTTAAGCAATGATAGCAGCTACTCTGTGTCCCGAGAAGATGGTGTTGAAATTTTGCTGGTAGAGAGTGACATTAATAGTAGTGAGAATAGTCCCAAGAACATGGACGAATTTTTCTATACTTCTGATGCTTCAGACGCTGTCCAGAGTGGGGCAAGTGAGGTGCAAAGCTACAGTTTTGAAGCGCAGGTAAATTTTAGTTTCTATGTAGATAGTGGCACTCTATTTTCTTTTGTCAATTTTAATGTTGCATTATGTTCTGTATTGTCTGGATGGTACGGGCCAAGAGTTTGTTGCTCTTATTTCATTCAATAAGAAATTTTTTGGATATTAGCAGATTAATATATTGCTACTTAGTTTTGGTTGGTACTGTTAATTTAGCAAGGGTTGTGGGGATGATTGGTATTTTTACTTTTTTAAATTAATGGGCTAGTCTTCATTTTTCCAAAGCATGATGTATTTTGATGTGAACCCAACGTGACTTGCCATTGGACCTGACTCCTTTGTCCAATACACCCTAGCCCTCCTGAATCTGACAGGGAAAATCTCGCTATCTTCCCACAATGACGAACAAGAATCTAGCAAGGTGCTTTCACCAATCCATCTATAGACCCCAATCTATTGTGAAGAGAGAAATCTTATTGCAAACATTCAAATAGACATAAGTTCCTCTATAAGATGCAAGACTTGGGTAGTTGGGTATTTATAAGCCCAAGTGAAGCATAGAGGTTCAACTTCTTAAAGCATGAAAAGTCTGAATAACAAGGGAATATTCTAAATTCTGTGTGAGATGCCGCCTTCAGGATTGTTTCCACATGTTCAATGGTCCTGTCAACCAAGCTTGTTGCTCTACCTTGCTACTGCCTTAAAGTCACAGGGATCATCGCAAGGTCCTTCATGTTGAAACACAGAAGTTGTCTGTAGGAATATGTTTGTTAATTGTGTAGAGTTGTGTCTGTAGGATTGTGTCCTTTGAATCTGTATATATTTGTCTGTTGTCTCCCCATTGAGACATGGAAGTAATACAACAAATCCTTCTACATCTTTCTCAATACTTCACAGTTTGCCAGAACTTCAGTATTTTTCCTTCAATAGCTGTTGTGCACTGAAATCAACATTTAGCCTGATTTTAATCATGATAAAGTCTGAATCATAGGAAACTCAACACATAATATCTGTAGAGGATTCTTTTAGTTTTCCATATAGTCTTGGAACTCTTGAATCACTTCAATATGATTGGCCAAAATACCAAAGCCTTTGCAAATTGTCCAATTTCTTTGGCCTACATGGCTGGTTTACTAATCCTGTCATCCAATCCCGTTGCTCAGCTTGTTTTCTGACACAAAATGACAGGGGAACTTCACTAGGTCTCAAGACCTGTTGTGAAGCCCCATTTCTTGACTCAATGTTCTACCACAAGTTACAGGGGCTCTCCACTGGCTTAGCAACCTCGTTTCTACTCTCCTTCAGGTGGCGCTGTTTTCTGCCATCACTATGTCCAACTCTCTGATGTATTAGCCATTATTTGGCCTTGGTCCATGTCATATTTGTTCCATAAATGCCTTTTAGCTTACTGAAACATCTACATGCACTGGGCCTTCAATAATTTCTTAATGGTACTGATGATGCAAAGATCCTAAAATTTCTTATTTATTGCTATGATGATGCAAAGATCCTAAAATTTTTTAGTGGAAATAAAACCCTTGTTTTTGTTTTTGTTTGTGTGTGTGTGTGTGTTTTTTTTTTTGTTTTTTTTTTGTTTTTTTTTTTTTCCCTTGTGGTGTTTTATTTACATATTTACTGGAATTATGATCATTGCTCTTCACTTTTAGTTTCGACTTACATACAATTACTTACATTCATATGTACGTGTATAAACTTCTTTCATTGATTCTCTTTCTCCATTATTTTACTGTTTCCAGGTTGTTTCTCCTGAATTCACTTTTTATGACAGCAGCAAGTCATCATTAGACAATTCATCATGTGGTGAAAAGCTCCTTCGAGCAAAAGTGGACTTTAGCTTCATGTAAGACTCTTGGTCACTTGAAATGTAATTCTGGCAGAAGTGAGAATGTATTACGTTTTGCAATTTGGGGCACTTTCTTGTTTATATCTTATATATATATATTGCAGATGAAATGTTAAAAAAAAATGTGGGTACAGGTGTTAAATGTGTTCTGCACCCAAACAGTTGGTACATTCTGTGCAACAGACTTTGCACTTAATGGAGTTGACTGGAAATAGAATTCATTTAATTGGCCCCATCTACACACTAGGATCAAGACTTTCTTAACTTGTATAATGTTTCTTCTGCTATGCAAATTGGATTTCAATGTTGTTTGCTTTCAATGTTTGAGCTTAAGCTTCTACTTACTATGCCACAATGTTTGTGATTTATTTGGGGATTGCCATTTGTGTAAACTTCAATCTTTCATTTACTAGCATATGTGGTAAATGTTGGTATTTGTGTAATTCTTTTTTCTCTCCACTTAGCATTTATACTTCATTTATACTTTGTTTACACTGGCAATCTATGTGGCACACATATTACAAATTAAATTCTCATAAATATCTGTTTTTTTATTTTTATTTTTATTTTTATTATTATTATTTTTTTTGTGCAGGTACGCTGCAAAAGAAAATGATAGATGGATTCGGGGTCTCTTGAAGGATCTCACTGTTGAGGCTGGTTCTGGGCTAATCATTCTTGATCCAGTGGACATTTCTGGTGGATATACCTCTGTTAAGGACAAGACAAATATATCTTTAATCTCCACAGATATATATGCCCATCTCTCTCTAGGTGTTATCTCCCTTTTACTCAATTTGCAAATTCAGTTAGCAACAACACTACAATTTGGAAATGCCGATCCTCTTTCCCCTTGTACTCATTTTGATCGCATTTGGCTGTCTCCTAAAGGTCTTTGTTTTTTTTTTTTTTGGCAAAGTGTTCTCCTTGATCATGTTTTAGCCATCATCAGGTGCACTGTATTTGTATGTTTGATTGTGTTACATGCTTGCAGAAACTGGGCTCCTTAACAATATTACGTTTTGGAGGCCTAGAGCTCCTCCAAACTATGTCATCCTGGGAGACTGTGTGACCTCAAGGTAATGAGAACCAGTAAATCTGCATTTATCTCTCCTCCTCTGATAACGCAATTCTTTTTTATATCTGAATACATTCTCAAATAGAAATCTGTTACTAGTCTACTACATCTTTTGTCTGTCTTGTTTGAGTTGTCCAAATTTTATAATTGTCCTTAAGAATGTAATTTTTGCCTAATGTATGAGATATGTAACTTACTTTTAGGCCAAATCCTCCTTCTCAAGCTGTTGTGGCCATTAGCAATACATATGGGCGTGTGCGTAAGCCTCTTGGTTACAAGCTCATAGGCATATTTTCTGGAATACAAGGACCAGCTGGGACACAAGTTTGTGCAGGTGCAGATGATGATTGTTCTCTTTGGCTGCCAATTGCACCACCTGGATATGTGGCAGTAGGGTGTGTTGCTCACATAGGAAGCCAACCGCCTCCAAGTCACATTGTTCATTGCATACGTCTTGATCTAGTAACATCAACATCATATTCGGAATGCATATTCAATGCTGCTGTGAGTGCTTCATTTACATCTGGGTATAGCATATGGCGTTTGGATAATGCTCTTGGGTCATTTTATGCACATCCATCTACTGAATATCCTCCAAAAGACTCTTGTTTTGATCTGAACCATCTTCTCCTTTGGAACTCAAGTTGGTACAATTCTTTCTCAATTCATCCTTCCCCTGATCTTACTTTTGAGCATGAGCGCGTGCAACCAAATGCAACATCAGGATGGGATATCATCAGATCAATTTCTAAAGCAACCTCTTATTATATATCAACTCCAAATTTTGAGAGAATCTGGTGGGACAGGGGTAGTGATCTTCGACGGCCAGTTTCCATATGGAGACCTATAACACGTCCAGGTTACGCAGTGCTGGGTGACTGCATAACTGAGGGGTAGCACTCTGTTAATTAATCATCTTTCAGTATAGTGTTCCCTTATTTAATCTTTATCTTAAGTATTCATATGTGACATCTCACTTTGCTACAGCCAAGAGCCACCTCCCTTGGGTATGATATTTAAGGCTGACGATCCTGAAATTTCATCAAATCCTGTGCAATTTACAAAGGTGGCCCATATTGCGGTAAAAGGTCTGGAAGAAGCTGTCTTTTGGTATCCAGTTGCTCCTCCTGGTTATGCTACCTTAGGGTGTGTAGTGACGCGACATGATGAAGCACCTCCTTTAGAATCTTTCTGCTGTCCAAGGATGGATCTTGTGAGTGGATCTAATATTGTTGAGATTCCAATCTCAAGATCATCAAGCTCCAAGGCTTCTCAATGCTGGAGCATTTGGAAAGTTGAGAATCAGGTAACACTTAGAGAAGTTGAGTGATCTTCTTATTGGTCTGCTTTTTTTGGCCTCTTGAAACTATTTATTTCCCTTTAGTTCTTACTTTTCTAATTGGTATCTATAGGCCTGCACATTTCTTGCACGACCTGATCTGAAAAAGCCTTCAACTAGGCTGGCTTTTGCTATTGGTGATTCAGTGAAGCCTAAAACAAGAGACAATGTGACAGCTGAGATGAAAATAAGATGTTTTTCTATTACCTTTTTGGACAGCTTATGTGGAATGGTTTGCAGTGACTTGAAGTTTGCCTATTTTTAATAAATTCAGTTCAATCCATTTTCTGTTGTGTTATATATCAACTGGTTTGTGTTATTGCCAGATGACACCACTTTTTGATGTCACAATCACAAATCTCAAACTTGCAACACATGGTCGGATGGAAGCAATGAATGCTGTACTCATTTCTTCAATAGCTGCATCAACTTTCAATACACATCTAGAGGCATGGGAGCCACTTGTAGAGCCATTTGAAGGAATATACAAGTAATCTATCTTTAGCTGGATTCTTTATCATTTCTCCAATTTTGTTCCAATTCCAGTAATATTGTTTTGCCTTTTGCAGATTTGAGACGTATGAAACAAATGTTCATTCATCATCAAATCTTGGCAAAAGACTACGCATTGCAGCAACCAGTATCTTAAATATAAATATTAGTGCAGCAAATCTTGGCACCTTGGCCCAGACTGTTGATTCTTGGAGGAAACAGAGGGAACTTGAACAAAAAGCCCTCAAGTTATTTGAGGTGACAGCAAGTCATGATAGTTATTTAATTCTATTAAAAAACATTGCTGTTTCTAACTGTTGCTTGTTACTTTTGCAGGAAGCTCTTGGTCATGACACAGATCATCAAAGTTCAACTTTTTCAGCATTGGATGATGATGAGTTTCAGACTTTGGTTGTAGAAAATAAACTTGGATGTGATATATATTTGAAAAAAGTGGAAGAGCAGTCAGATGCAGTTGAATTACTAGCTCCTGATTCTTCTGCCTCTCTGTGGATTCCACCTCCAAGGTTTTCTGATAGATTAAATGTTACTGAAGAATCAAGGGAACATCGACGTTATGTTACTGTTCATATTGTTGAAGCAAAGGTTGCCACCTTCCCCTTTCTTTGATGGCCACTCTCACTTTTGCATCTTTTGGTGTCAGATTTAATTTTTATCAGTTTTTTGTTCAGTGTTTGCCTGTTGTTGATGACGGCAACAGTCATAACCTCTTCTGTGCGTTACGCTTGGTTGTGGAGAGTCAGGATACAAGCCAGCAAAAAGTTTTTCCTCAGAGTGCCAGAACCAAATGTGTGAAACCATTAATTGCTAAAAGAAATGGTCAGGATGAGGGTATGGCTAAATGGAATGAACTATTTATATTTGAAGTTCCCCGGAAGGTAATACTTGACAATTGTGAACAGTTATAAGGACTCTTATCTTCTTTTGTTGATTTTCATCTTAGTAAATGATGGGAGAAAAAGAAATGACAAGGAAAAAGTTCTAGTAAAGAATACTGCAAATGCCCAAATTGTTAAATTCCTGGCTGAATCAGGTTTTTGTTAAATTCTCTATCTGTGCCATGATTCTATTCTGAAGTACTAACATTCTGTATGTTTTATCCCTTCTGTACTTCAAAGCTTATCAGTTCATTTTGTTGGCTTATATAGGAATTAGGAAATGAGTTCTTTTATCTTGCCACATTGATTAAATTATATGTAGTTCCAATTTTAGTATTGTTTAAGCATGTGAATTTAAGGCCAAGCTTTTATCAGGCACTATGGTCTAGATTACTGTATTGTTTGGATCTAATGTCTTTGTGAATGCTTCAAGCAAATATGCATCCGAATTCAGATACTAATTTTAGTATCTGTAGTTCCAATTCAGTATCTGTAGTTCCACATTGATTAAATTATATGTAGTTCCAATTTTAGTATTGTTTAAGCATGTGAATTTAAGGCCAAGCTTTTATCAGGCACTATGGTCTAGATTGCTGTATTGTTTGGATCTAATGTCTTTGTGAATGCTTCAAGCAAATATGCATCCAAATTCAGATACTACTGTCATCTCTATTAGATATGATCTACAGAAAAGAAAACAACCACAAATTGGACTGCAGTAGCTCTCTATCTTCAGTTAATTGTTTTTATTTTGCTGAGTCATACATGGTAATGTATGCGAGGCAGATTTTCCAAAAATGTGATTCCTAACAGCAATGACACTGTCACACTGGTCATATGTTGTTCAGTTACCTGGGATAGAGAAGCAAACTCATATGCTCTGTGCAGACCATGACCTTGATCTTTTAAGAATTTTCTCTTTCCAAGGGCAGATAAAATGTTGGCATTCCCTTTTGTAATGGTTGTCCTCATGTCATGATTCATGTTATTGGATTTAAGTCAAGTAGCTAATCAGCCTTCAATTTTTGGTGATTTTGCTGTAGGGTCTGGCCAAGTTGGAAGTGGAGGTAACAAATCTTGCTGCAAAGGCTGGAAAAGGTAACAAACTTTATGATCCATATTATTATATTTTAGTTAAGGGGAGGGACTCTTTCTGTCCAATTTTCATCTCTTTGATCTTGAAAGGAACATGGTTTGTTCAATTCATTGCCTAGAGACCTGTATTGTGATGGAATCATACTTTCAGCGAGGCAAGTTGTGAATTTATTGGAGTATTATCTTTTCTGGAACAGGATATGGGATAAAGAAAAGTATAACATGTTTCTTGCTGTATTCACTGGCAGCTTTATACGATTTTGTTTTCTAATTCGCCCAAATTTCAATGTGTGCTTTGTATTTTGTACTGCGTGTATTATACTACAAAATTTAAGTCTATTATGTATGCCTTGTTGAGTAATTTACCCAAAGTTTAATTAGTGATGACTTTTCAATTTATACTTTTGTCATTGTAGGTGAAGTTGTGGGTGCATCTTCATTTTCGGTTGGACATGGTTCTGGTGTTTTGAAGAAGATTGCTTCTGTCAGAATGCTGCATTCAACATCTGATGCTGAGAAAATTGTGTGCCACCCACTGAAAAGAAGGGTTTGTTTTCTCTTCAAACTACTTCCTTTTCACTGCCTTGTCATCTCTCAGCAGAAACATTTGTTTGTTGTTTTCTGCCCTTAGATCTTGTTTTGCACTTTTAATATTCTCCAGGGTCAGCTGAACAATGACGCAGATTCTCGTGGATGGCTTTTTATTTCCACCTCATACTTTGAAAAGAAAACAATGGTAAACTTCCAAAATGACAAAAGAGGCAAGGATGATAGTGATGGTGATATAGGTTTTTGGGTGGGGCTTAATGCATATGGTCCATGGGAGAGTATTCGCTCGTTTCTTCCCCTGTCAGTAATCACCAAAGAAATGAAAGATGACTATGTAGCTGTAGAGGTTGTTACCAAGAATGGGAAAAAACATGCAATTTTCAGAGGACTTGCTACAGTAACCAATGATTCAGATATCAAACTGGAAATTTCATCATGTGATGTGTCCATGATTAACCCTCAAGAACACAGTAGAAAGCAAATTAAGGAGAGGGGAACAAGTGGCATAAATTACATATTCTTGAGTCCTGGTTCTTCCTCTGTTTTACCTTGGAAATGCACTTCTAAGGACTCTAATCATTGTTTGCAAGTTCGTCCTTGCCTTGATCCTTCTCAGACTCCTTATGCATGGGGCAATCCTGTTGTCCTGGGCTCTGCCTATGTACTTGGAAAGGACCAACCTTCAGTTGAGCAAGGCACACTATCAAGACAAAGTACTTTGAGACAGGGAAACAGGCTACATGTTTCTCCTTTGAAGCTTAATCAGCTTGAAAAAATGGATCTACTTCTCTGTTGCCCTGATGCTACCGGTAAACAGTATTGGCTCTGCATTGGCACAGATGCTTCAGTTCTTCACACAGAGCTAAACGCCCCTGTCTATGATTGGAAAATATCAGTTAGCTCCCCTCTGAAATTGGAAAATCGACTTCCTTGTGGAGCTGAGTTCAGAATTTGGGAAAAACTCAAAGATGGAAGCAATATAGAGCGTCATCGTGGTTATCTTTCATCTCGTGAAAGCATGCACATTTATTCTGCTGATATAAGGAATCCTCTCTATCTTATGTTGTTTCTTCAAGGTGGTTGGGTTTTGGAAAAGGTACAAATTCTTGATGTAAATGTGCTCGTGCACACATTTTTGGTTTTTGAAAACACGTCTGATATTTCCCTTCATTTGACTAAACAGGAACCTGTTTTGGTTTTGGATCTTACAAGTAATAGTCATGCTTCATCATTTTGGATGGTCCAGCAGCATAGAAAAAGGTATAATTAAGAATATAATGTTGTATCTTTTTGCTTTGTTTACTTGATTACTTATGTAATTAAGGACAGATCACCAAAAAAAAAAGGTTGAGAGGTTCTCTCAAAGCTGAACTAGTTTGATGCAACCTTCTCAATCAAAAAGAGCAGAATGGAAGAGAAAGTGGAAATTTATATCATATAGTAATTGGAGGTGATATCATATTACATCTTTTTAAACAGGGTATAGTTTCTATTTTGCCTATATGCGTTTTTTTTTTTTTTTTTTTTTTTTTTAATTTTTAAATTCTGTGTTTTGTAGTTGACTACTGGAGAAGTGTTTATCATCTATTTTGTTTCATAGCACAAAGACTGATCAAGTTTAGGTCTTAATTTTCTAGTCTGTAGGGTGCATTTCCACCATATATAAAATGTTTTTTTTAATTGTCCACCCAGGAAAGAACACTTTAAGTAATTAGAGCTTTACCATATATGTCAGTCTGATATGACTTGGCTATGCTGATTGTATTATTTCAACGGTGTTATTGAATAGGACATTGCGTGTAAGTATTGAACGTGACATGGGAGGAACAACTGCTGCTCCCAAAACCATAAGGTTCTTTGTTCCATATTGGATTAGCAATGAGTCCTACTTGTCTTTGGCATATCAAGTTGTGGAAATTGAAGCAGTGGAAAGTGCAGCAGACGTAGATTCACTTGTGCTTTCAAGAACTAAGTCTGCTAGATTATCATCGAGAGGTTCATCTACTTCGTTTGGCAGGAAGCAGATAGGTCCTAGAAAAAACATTCAAGTGCTTGATATTATTGAAGATACTAGTCCAATTCCCAGCATGCTTTCTCCACAAGATTACGTTGGCCGTGGTGGGGTGGTGTTGTTTTCATCTCGTAATGATGCGTATCTTTCTTCACGGGTGGGCATTTCTGTTGCTATTCAAAACTCTGAAAACTTCAGTCCTGGTATCTCTCTTCTTGAACTAGAAAAGAAGGTAACATGGATACCCTGTTATTGAAACTCTGTAATGGATTCTGATAATATTAGATTTATATACTACTATGTACTATGCACCTCTTTGAACTCAACATTGTCTTTCCTCCAGCAACGAGTTGATATCAAGGCCTTTGGTCCAGATGGGTATTATCACAAGCTTTCTGCTGTATTGCATATGACATCAGACAGAACAAAGGTTTGCTTGGAACCTTTATTTTTAATGTGAAGATGTGAAGGAATTCATATCCTCTGCATGTTTAATTATTAGAGAAAGGATCGCCATGCCTTGAACTTGTTTGATTTGGTTCACCTACTAGTTCAAGTAGTGGCAAAAGTTTTAATATTATGAAGAAAACAGGTGAAGAATGTGTGGACATCAGTATGTTTCTTGCTTATTGAGATTTCAATTTAAAAGATTCATTAACATCATATCTCCTGTAGGACGGGTTCCTTTATAGTTTTGATATGATATTGTTTTGGGATGGGAGATTAAGAAGAAACTAAAAAACAGAATTTAGAGTGTTTTTGACTGTTGCTTCCTGGCTGTGCAGGTTGTCCATTTTCAACCGCACACTTTATTTATTAATAGGCTTGGCTGCAACATATGCCTCTGTCAGTGCAATTCTGAGTTGCGTGAATGGATCCATCCAACTGATCCTCCAAAACATTTTGCATGGCAACATAATAAAGTTGAATTATTGAAGGTCTGTATAATGGACACTCTTTTGTTGGTTAAGTGGTTTCTCTAAACATCTGAATTCAATTCTTATTTCTATATCTTGAGTCTTTATTATGTCTTACTCAGGTAAGGCTGGATGGATACCAATGGAGTTCACCATTTAGTGTTGGCTCTGAAGGTTTGATGTCTATTTGCCTGATAAGTGAGAGTGGAAGTGACCTGATACGTGTTAGGGTTGAAGTTAGAAGCAGTTCAAAAGACTCACGCTTTGAAGTAGTATTCCGACCAAAGTCATTCTCAAGTCCTTACAGGTTGATTGTGATCTTATTAGTTTCTTAATGACTTCTCATTATCCCCGATACGAAACTGCTAACTTGAAAACATGGTACACAAATACAACACATGGTCTATATTTTCCTTCAAGTGTTTATATTTCAGAAAAGAAAAGGACACGAGCTCCTAGAGGAGATTGAATGACTAGAAATCTGAGAAACCAAGCAATAGTACTTTTTTGTAAATACGGTTTCTCAACCATGTTTCAAAACTCATGCCTCATTCACTAAAGCTACATTTCTCTTGGACCATTAATAAGCAAGAAAATAACATTTTTTTATCCAAATTTTTGCTCTTGTTTTTTCAATATCCAGATGCACAAAGTGCCAGTTTGGTAAAGGTAATGACTATGCATAATTGAAAATCTCCAAATTATGGCTTATTGGATTAGATAACCTAAAAAGCTGTTTGTATAATCCTTATTATTTGCAAAATATGTAAAAATAGATTATTTAATATAATATCTCAATAATCTATTTAGACAAGTTTTACCAAACAGCCCCAAGACTATAGCTGATCTTGTGCATATCTACTGGTGGAACATATCTATATTATTGAAACCATATTATGTTGTGTATTTGTCTTCTGCATTGACCTATACCTGCTCATGGTTACTACACTTGCTCCAACTTCAAAGATTTTGGCCATGTTTGTCCTAGAAATAATATAAAATAATTGACATTGCTAATCTGCTATTTTATCTTTTTGTCTAACATAAACACAGTTTGAATCCTTGACATTGGTATTTATCGTGGCTGTTGTCCCTCACTTGCTGCTTCACATGTTCATCTACCTTGTGAATAATCATCTCAGTTTCATACTTTTTTTTCATGTCTGTTATTTAATGCGATTGGAATAGAATTGGTCAGCTTTCCTTTTTAGAGTTCTGTAATTTCAAGGTTATTCTCATTTCAGGGCCCACTTGAACCATTTTTGTAACTAAACTTTTCAGTCTATGATATTAATAATTTCTTGTTGACAGGATTGAAAATCGCTCTTTAGTTTTGCCTATACGTTTTCGACAAGTGGATGGTGCAAATGATGCATGGAGAGTTATTCTTCCTAATGCTTCTGCTTCTTTCTCATGGGAAGATCTCGGTCGACAACGATTGCTTGAGCTCTTGATAGAAGGGAATGAACCGTCTACAAAAAAATACAATATTGATGAGATATCTGATCATCAGCCTGTCCATACAACTGAAAGACCTGAGAAAGCTTTACGTGTTACTGTCCTAAAAGAGGAGAAAATGAATGTTGTTCGAATCAGTGATTGGATGCCAATAAATGACACCCCTACTAATTTAAGTAGAACTCCTTCATTGTCACAAATCTCTGGCAATTCTCCTTCTCAGCAATCAATATACACCTCAGACTCCGAGTTTCATGTTATTGTTGAGGTTGCAGAGCTTGGACTATCTATTATTGATCATACGCCAGAAGAAATATTATATCTGTCCGTGCAGAGTCTTCTGCTATCTTATTCAACTGGACTGGGTTCTGGAGTTAGCCGGTAAATATCTCATTAAATTGTTTATTTGTTATAAAGCTGTGCCTTGTTTGTTTTTAATTGATTGGGCTTATTGATAGAGTTTAATTTAAGTTCCCATATTAATTTCTTACAGCCTAAAAGTAAGAATGCGCCGGATTCAGGTCGACAATCAGTTGCCTTTAAGTCCAATGCCAGTTCTCTTCCGTCCACAAAGAATTGAAGAGCACACTGATTATATCTTGAAGTTTTCCTTGACACAGCAGTCTAGTGGATCACTGGATTTCTGTGTGTATCCCTACATTGGTTTCCAAGTGAGCAATTGATGGCTCTTCTCACATTTTTCCCTTCCTCCAAAGTTCATTCTTGTATTCTTCTACATGTATGCTAACACGTGTATCCTTTATAGGGACCTGAAAATTCTGCTTTTTTAATCAACATTCACGAACCAATAATATGGCGCCTTCATGGGATGATTCAACAAGCTAACCTTAGTAGGTTATTTGATACACAGACTACTTCTGTTTCTGTTGATCCCATCATTCAAATTGGGTATGAATTTTGCTGCCTTGTTTATGATGCTTCCTTTTTGTTGTTTGGTTTCTTTTCCGCCTGTATGAAAACTGGGCTAAACTAGAGTTCTCTAAACTGACAGTGTTTTTAACATCTCGGAAATTCGAATCAAAGTCTCGATGGTCATGTCCCCAACACAACGTCCAGTGGGTGTTCTAGGGTTTTGGTCAAGCTTGATGACTGCACTTGGGAATACCGAAAATATGCCGGTAAGCATTGACTTGCCTAATCTCATAATAGAAATTTGTGTTTAATCTGGTTATTTGAGAATATTAGTTTATCAAGAAAAACTATTCCAGAGACAAGGGTAACTACTTCTCTTGTATCAATTATGTTATTTTTTCTATCGTTATCAGGTCCGCATAAATCAAAGATTTCTGGAAAATGTCTTGATGAAGCGTAGTGTTCTTGTTGGTAATGCTATTGCAAACATTAAAAAGGATCTACTTGGCCAGCCTCTCCAGTTGCTCTCTGGTGTTGATATACTTGGCAATGCAAGTAGTGCACTTGGACACATGAGTAAAGGTGTTGCTGCCTTGTCAATGGATAAGAAATTCATCCAAAGTCGACAAAAACAGGTTCATGGAAGAACTACTTGATCCTATTGCATTAGCTGTTCTTCATGGTTTGGAGAAAAGAGAAGTGTGAAAAATACATCTAGATAAGTCTTCACTAGGAACTTAAATTGCTTCATTTTAGCTCTGTTATAATTTAAGATTGGGCCATGGTCACTCAACTGGGCTATAATGCACATGGGTCAAACCACACTAAAAGATTGAATCCAACCAATTAGCTAGTCTAACCCATGGCCTTATAAACCCATATGCTCTTAACAAGCTCTAATGGGGGGGGGGGGGGGGGTTCATATGAGGGCCATTGACTGAAATGGCAAGTTTCTAAAGGAGTGGACAAAAATAGGCAACTTTTAAATCATGGACAAAATAAGGAGAAACTCCATTGGGACTTGCGTTTCTGGACAAAAATAGGCAACTTTTAAATCATGCGTCATTTTTACCAGAAACGCAAGTCCCAATGGAGTTTCTCCTTATTTTGTCCATGATTTAGAAGTTGCCCATTTTTATCCACTCCTTTTGAAACTTGCCCATTTCAGTCAATGACCCTTCATATGATGCCTCTTTACTTATCTAGGAAACATCCATTGGACTACTTGCTGTCAATCTAGTATTTTTTATGCCATTCTTTTTATTAATAGTATTTACTTATCTAGGAAACATCCATTCATGGCTCTGGCTTATTTCTTTCTTAATAATCTTGTATATTTTGACTTAATGATGTTTCTGTGGGTCTACTCAAATAAGCAAATGTAATAAAGATGCCTTTTATCAACCTCCCTTCTGGGCACAGTTCTCGATGCATGCAGGCCATTCTTTCCTTGATAATTTTTTACATTTTCTGTTCTATACACGGCGTGTAGGCAGGAGAAAAAGTATTATATGCCAGACAATTTGACAAATTTGTATGTATCATGTACACAGGATCAAATAGTGCAGGTCTTTTTGTTCAATATACATTCCTTTGACAATAATTTGTTTCAGGAAAGCAAAGGTGTTGAGGATTTTGGTGATGTCATTAGAGAAGGTGGGGGAGCTTTCGCAAAAGGCCTTTTTCGTGGTGTCACTGGCATTTTAACTAAGCCCCTTGAGGGAGCAAAAGCTTCAGGGGTTGAGGGTTTTGTTCAGGGTGTTGGAAAAGGATTAATTGGTGCTGCTGCTCAACCTGTTAGTGGCGTTTTGGATCTTTTGTCAAAAACCACAGAAGGTGCCAATGCTATGAGAATGAAAATAGCGTCAGCTATTGCTTCAGAGGATCAACTCCTACGGAGGAGGCTACCTCGAGTAATTAGTGCTGATAATCTGCTTCGGCCATATGATGAGTACAAAGCACAAGGGCAGGTAACATCATAATTCCCCCGTAGACTTGTTTGAGGCATAATTTAAGAAATATGGAGTAAAACCTAATGGGCATGCATTTTTACTAGAAACAAATGCGCAAGGCTTTTTTGCTACGAACTCCTTATCAAGTTTTATATTTGCTACTCTCTATCAGTCAAATACTATCTTAATTTTTATTTCCCGATGTCAAAAAAAAAAAATTTGGCATATTGAATAAATTCAATAGTGTAATTGTATAGGTTCTTTACTAAAAGGACCCCTTAAAATTAGAAGTGAAAGAAAAAAGTTATGCTCCTGATGCATTTAATATATAGGCAAATTGGAATTATACCACTTAAATTATTTCTCTACATTGCATTAAATATGTTCTTCTAAATCAGTGTGATTTTTCTTATCAGAGAGTTATTTGTGAATGGAGTAATTAATTACTAGTACTGGATTTTATGTCTTCGGTTGGAAATATCTCCTTGAGCAGCCTCGCCTAAGCTTTATTAAAGGCCTTGAGGAGAGGAGTAGTTTCCTTGGGCAGATTTCTCATTTATTATGTCTCTTCCCTGCTCCCTTTTTGGGCTATATATTGAGTTGTAATCTGATGTTCCTTGTAAGAGTGCATGAAATAGAAAGATACTTTCAGTTCCTCAAGTCTTTCAACATGGTATCAGAGCCACCTTTTCAGGGCCCGAGAATTACTCCAGTTTCCTTTTGATAACGTTGTTCATCTGTCCATCTCCTTCAAGAAAACCTTTTTTTTTTTCGCTCCCTTGACGTTCTGGTGTAGAAACCTCTGTAGGAAGCTCCGGCGACCCTGACCATCTTTTTCCGACCATCAGAAACCTCCGCACGTGCCTTCCGACGCGCCTCCATCTCCGGCGACCTTTTTCCGGCCAAACTTTCCAGATTGTCTTATCTCCTTGTTTGCGACCCAACCCTGATTTTCTCACCTTTTTGTGATCACTATGGAAGATGAAGAAATCATTAACAGTGTCCAGAATACTCTTCTCCCAAATCAACCTAAAGTCTATGTTCCAAATCTCTCTAGGAGTATCACTAGTGAAAAACTTATTGGGTTCCAAAATTATCAAGATTGGGCATCAGCCGTGGAACTATGATTTATGGGTCAAGGAGTGGTTGATCACCTCACTACCACAATAGAAGAAATTCATCATAAAAGGAATATTTGGGATTTGGGAAAGAGCTGATGCCCAACTATGCAATTTATTATGGCAGTCCCTTACTCCGGGGAAAGTCCAAGGACTCATGGCTGAATTCAATAAACTCATGCCTATTGGAGGATCACCCGAAGAGCAACTTACTCAAAGCGACAAGTTCTTTGTCATTCTTACACTTGTCAAGCTTGAACCAGAATTTGAGCAAGTTCAAAATAGTATACTCGGTGATGGAGCGATTCCAAGCACTAATAAAATGTTCAAAAGACTTCTTCAAGTCTCTTCTTTTTGTAAAGGAAATATATCATCATCAACCATTGTTGATCATTCTGCTCTTACTACTCAAAGTATCATGGTTACAATAGAGGAAGAGGTCGAGGTGGCCGAGGTGGAGGACGAAATTCTACTCGTTTATGTTGGAAAGTTCATGGAAAACCAACTATGGTTAATATAGTTCAATCTGGGAATTCAAATACTGAGGACTCAAATACACAAGTTATCTCAAAGGCTGAGTATGCAGAATTTTTGCAATTAAAGGCCAAGACAACCATTTCTCCTGACATCTCCCAAACTGCTTTTGCTTCACAATCAAACTTTGTTTGGGCCTTGGATTCTAGAGCCACCAATCACATTTCTGGTAATCCCTCATTTTCTCCCAAATTGACTTCTCAGATTCTCTCCCCCATCGGTTACCTTTGGTGATGGATCAAAGGGAAAAGCTAAAGGAATTGAAATTCACTATCTATTCCTTCTCTTTAAACCATGTTCTTTACATTCCCAGTTACCCTTTCAATTTGATTTCAATCCATTGGCTTACTCACTCAATTTTTTTGGCAACATTTTCTTCTGATTTTGTGGTTATTCAGGACCGATAGATGAGGGAGACAATTGGTACGGGATATGAATCACGAGGACTCTACCATCTTCTATGTTCCACCAATACAAACATAGCTTGCATGGCTACTCTTTCACCTCTCCTCAACCATTGTCGATTAGGGCACCCCAATATCAATAAATTAAGACAGCATGTTCCTGGTTTGTCCAATTTAAAAGAAATAGAATGTGACTCATGTCAACTTGGGAAGCACTCGAGGTCCTCATATCCTAGTAGAGTGAATAAGAGGGCTAATACACCATTTTCTTTAGTTCACTTCGATGTTTGGGGACCCTGTTGTGTTCTAACCACCTTGGGGTTCTTATATTTTGTTGTCTTCATTGATATTTTTCTCGGTATAGTTGGGTCTTTCTAACAAAAAATCGTTTTGAACTATTCGATGTGTTTCAAAAAGTCTACAATGAAATCATAAATCAATTTGGAGTTTCTTTCAAAGTCCTACGCAGTGATAATACCAAAGAACATTTTACTGACTCTTTCACTTCTTTCTTTTTCTCACATGGAATACTTCATGAATCTTCAGGTGCTAGAACCCCTTAACAAAATGGTTTTGCTGAACGAAAAATTCGTCATCTTGCACTTTGCTCATTCACTACAAGGTTCCTAAGAAATTTTGGGGGACGCTATACTTCATTCTTGCTATCTCATAAATCGAATGCCTGCTGTCTTGCAAGGGAAAATTCCTCTTAATCTTTTACTCCCACAATAACCTCTCTACAACCTTCCATTACGGATTTTTGGGTGTACCTGCTTCGCCCATGATTCCTCACCAGGGCAACTTGATGCCATGGCAATAAAATGTGTGTTCATTGGGTATTCTCGCCTCCAAAAAGGCTTTAGGTGTTATTGTCCTAAAACACATCGTTTCTATACCTCCTTTGATGTCACATTTTTAAACTACGCCCTTTTTCTCTTCCACTTCAGTTAAAGAATCTGACTTCTTAGGGAAACCACTTGAAGCCACAGAAATTATCCCCTGTCCATACTTTCATAGAGCTTGTATCTCCCGATGTTCCTGAAAAAACTACACCAATGCCAACCATTTAAGAAAGACATTGTTCACCATTTTTGTTCACCTACCCGCGGCCCAATCGTCAAGGTTCTCAAGAGGATGGATGTTTGGTTGATTCATGTCCCACACCAGCGCCCACTCACACGGTCCAAAATACCAGCTCTCCCATTGCCAATCGAATAGGTAAACGATCCACTCGAAATCCTTATCCTATTTATAACTTCCTTACACAAAAACGATTGTCTCCATCATATTGTGCTTTCAATACTAGTTTATCTATTGTGTCTATTCCAAAAAGTGTCAAAGAAGCATTAACTCATCCAGGATGGAAACAAGCAATGATTGATGAAATGGAAGCACTACACACATCTGGAACTTGGGAGTTAGTTCCTTTGCCTCCTGGAAAAACTGTGGGTGGTTGTAGATGGGTGTATAATGTGAAGGTTGGTCCAGATGGATAAGTTGATAGGCTTAAAGCCCGACTAGTGGCTAAAGTGGGTATACACAGGTTTTTGGTAGTGACTACACAGACACCTTTTCACCGGTTGTTAAGATCACATCCATTCATTTCTTCTTCTCTAAAGGGGGTCCTACACACAGGTTTTTGGTAGTGACTACACAGACACCTTTTCACCGGTTGCTAAGATCACATCCATTCATTTCTTCTTCTCAATGGCAGCCAATCATCACTGGACCTTCTATCAGTTCGATATCAAAAATGTCTTCTTACATGGGAACTTGAAAGAAAAAGTATATATGGAGCATCCCCTTGCTTTGTGGCTAGGACTGGAACTAATCTTGTTTGTCGCCTCAAACGCTCTCTCTGTGGACTGAAGCAATCCCCACGTGCCTGGTTTGGAAGATTTACTGCTGTGATCCAACAATTTGGCATGATTCAAAGCAAAGTTGACCACTCTTTTTTCTATAGACATCTATTCGGAAAGAGCATATATTTTGTAGTTTATGTTGAAGAAACATTTGTTTTAACATTTTCCTTGGTATTGAAGTTGCTCAATCCAAACAAGGTATTTACTAGTGGCTAAAGGGGGTACACTCATGGATTTGAATGTCAAACTTCTTCCAGGACAGGGAGAGCCTCTATCCGATCCAAGTAGATACTGAAGATTAGTTGGCAAGCTATTATACTTTACTATCACTCGTCCAGATATTTCTTTTGTAGTAAGTGTTGTTAGTTAGTTTCTACAAGAGCAATGTCAAAGTCATTGGGATGCAGCTATTAGAAGTTTATGTGAAAAGATCTCGAGGTACAGGTTTACTCTACAAAGATCACGGACATACAGGAATTGTTGGTTACACAGACGCAGGATGTCCTTGGGGTTGGAGATTAACATCTGGATACTGTATACTCTTTGGAAGTAATCTGATTTCTTGGAAAAGCAAGAAACAAGATGTAGTTGCACAGTCAAGCGCAGAAGAAGAATACCGAGCAATAGCACTTGAGACTTGTGAACTAATTTGGGTGAAGCAATTCCTCACATAACTCAATTTTTGTAAGCTTGGTCCTATGAGATTAATTTGTGATAATCAGGCAACTCTACACATTGCATCTAATCCTGTCTACCATGAAAGGACCAAACATATTGAGGTTGATTGCTACTTTATACAAGAGAAGGTTGTGTTATGAAAGTGAAGAGAGAATTTCTAATGTGCTGTCGTATTTTGTCTCAAGCTCTCATATAGAAAAGAGAATACAAAACCCTATAAATAGGAATTAGAAGACTACGAATAGGAAACAAGTTTTCATATGGCTTACCTACCTGAGACCCTAAACTGCCTAATATATAGAGATTCTATATATCAAATATATATTCCATAACACTCCCCCTCAAGTTGGAGCATATATTTTAATTAATAATGCCCAACTTGTTACACAAATGAGTGATAACCAAAAATAACTAAATAACAAATAACTCAAGTCCATTTAGGACACTCCTTTGAAATGAAAGCTTTGAACGCCACGAATCCCACAATCAACGGGTGAACACAAAGTGATCGAACAAGCTTGAGATTGGATACTCATACTCCCCCTCCAACGAAAGCTTCGAACGCCACGAATCTCATGAACGGGTGAACTCAAAGTAACCGAACAAGCTTGAGATTGGATATTCCTCCCGAAATGAAAGTTGTGAACGCCACCAATACCACAACTCCGGGTGAACACAAAGTGGACCGAACAAGCTTGAACACACAAGGTAAAGAAGACAAATTCCAAATTGGAGGACACAATTTCTTTATTAGCAAAAGGGAAGCATCTTGACTAACAAAAGGGAAGCATGCCCCCATCAACGAGCATCAAAAAGGAGAGAGAACACCAAACCGAGGCAGCACCAAAACACAAAACGAGACAGCACCAAAACAAAAAACGAGACAGCACCAAAACACAAAAAGAGACAACACTAAAATATGAAACGAGACAGCATCAAAACACACAACGGACTCCATCCTTCTAGAGCTCATGAACATAAAGACTCCTAGACGCAAGCCCCTCACCAATAACCCTCTTCGTCACAAGATTCCAAGGCAGCAGCAGCAACACAATTATACCCACCAAAATAAATCACAAAACCACACAAAAAAGGGAGCCTTACGAAACAGTCTGACCGGAAAGTAAAAGACAATGGTCCAAACTAAGTCCAGAACCAAGGGGACCTAGGCGACCCAGAAATTGGCGACCAAAAATTTTTCCGGTGGCCGAAAAGCTCTCACGCGTCAGCGCGTGGCGGCCGGTTGCGGCAGTGCGTGAGCCTCACGCGTTGCCCAGATCGTCGCCAAAATTTGCTGGCACGGTCGCCGACGAAGCTTCCTAGATGGGTGGTGACAGCAGCGGAGCGGAAAAAAATCCCTTTATCGTAAAGGATGATTCCATGTTACGAAAGTGAAGAGAGAGTTTCTAGTGTGCTGTCGCATATTGTCTCAAACTGTCATATAGAAAAGAGAATACAAAGCTTTATAAATAGGAGCTAGAAGACTATGAATAGGAACAAGTTTCCATATGGCCTACTATCTAAAACCCTAAACTGCCTAATATATAGAGATTCTATATATCAAATATATATACCATAACATGCTGCATCCGGAGACATTGTCACCACATTTGTTGGGTCAAATGATCAACTAGCCGATATCCTCACTAAATCTCTTCGTGGACCTAGGATTGATTTCATTTGTAGCAAGCTAGGAGCATTTGATTTATATGCTCCAGCTTGAGCCCCGTGTTGGAAATATCTTCTTGAGCAGCCTCTCCTCAGCTTTATCAAGGCCTTGAGGAGAGGAGTAGTTTCCTTGGGCAGACTTCTCATTTATTATGTCGTTTATTATGTCTCTTCCCTGCTCCTTTTTTAGCCTAAATATTGAGTTGTAATCTGATGTTCCTTGTAAGAGTGTAAGAAATAGAAAGATACTTTCAGTTCCTCAAGTCTTTCAACATCTTCCTACATCTAAATATAAAAAAGCTGTTAGATGGGTAAGTAGTATTTGTTTGTTCATTCGTCATGTGTGGGCTGATTTCTTTTATGATGGAAAACTACTTTGTTTTTTTATGAATGGTGATAAAACTAGTGTAAAAAACTTTGCTTTCTCTGATGCTAGGATTGAACATTTGTTTCTTCACTTCTGAAAAGCTTTTAGGTTATTAGAAGTGATTAATTATTCCTTTCAACTTTATGCCTTAATATATGCATCTTAGGTATAGTTGGCTATGCAAAAGTGATTAATTATTTCTTTCAGCTTTATGTCTTAATATATGCATCTTTGGTATAGTAAGATATGCCTTTCATTGCATCCAACCGTAAACCATAAACCATAAACCCTCCAACCATGAGGATTTTCCTCTACTGTGATATATCTTCCTTGTGAGCACTTTTTTTTCTATTCTTTAAGAGTAGTTACCTGAGGAGAAACTAACCCAGATCATTTTGTAATATGATGTCATTATGAAGGTAATGTTGCAATTAGCAGAATCTGGATCATTCTTTGGCCAGGTTGACCTTTTCAAAGTGCGAGCAAAGTTTGCCTTGACAGATGCTTATGAAGACCACTTCATGCTCCCTAAAGGAAGAATTATTGTTATTACACATCGGAGAGTTTTACTGTTGCAAGTACGTTGATCAGTTTCCTGATAGCATGTTAGACAACAGACAATTCAAACAAATATCATCCTTCATTCCATAATATGCTCACATGTATACTCAAAACGGTTTTTGATTTGTTGTTGTCAGCAAACTTCAAACCTTATTGCGCAGAAGAAGTTTAATCCTGCAAGAGACCCATGTTCAGTATTGTGGGATGTCCTGTGGGATGATTTGGTGACAATGGAATTGTCTCCTGGAAAGAAAGATGCTATAAATGGTCCACCCTCACGGCTGATTATATATCTGCAAAGTCGATCATTAGAGGGAAAGGACCAATTTCGCATTGTAAAATGCCAGCGAGATTCTAATCAAGCGTTTCAGGTTTATTCAGCAATTGAGCTGGCAAGGACTACTTATGGGCCAAGTGATTCAAAGGTTTGACTTCCCATCTCAAAGTCAAGCATGTTGATGTTATAAGAAAGTGATTTGTGGCCAACAAGTTGTTGGGTAGTCTAAGATTCCTAGGCATTGTCATTAAAACAACTGGTGAAAATCACTCTAAACGCACTGTGAATATGGTTACATATAATTATTCTTATTCCCTCTTTCTTATGATGTTCCAGGCTATGCTTAAAAGGAAAGTGACAAAACCATATTCACCAGTTGCTGATGCAGCCAGCACTGAAGCAATTTCTAAAGATGGTGCTGGCGCCTGGTCACCTCAGCTGATGCCAATTTCGTCTTTTGGAAGCAGCGAGCATTGAAGCAGAAAGTAGTTGCTTTAGTTACATGTGGTTAGTTGTTTCAACCCACCCTAATTTCATGTTAAAAAGCCATGTCTTCATTTCTTCTTTGCTTGCATAACTAGATCACTAGAAAAAAGTGAGGCCTGTTTACTAGGGTAGGAACTGCTTAATGGTAAGGAAGTTCATTGCTGGTAATGTTTGCGTCGCTGTTATTCATGTATTTCCCCGGAAACCCAACCACAATTTGTGCTTTCTAATTTACACCCCAATTCTTTATGATATATTGTTAATATATGTGAAGCCTATTACAACTAGTAAGTAGAGTAACATGTGATCTCATTTGCAAATATAAACCCTTCACTGAGTTCAATCTTGCTTGCAGCGAGGCATGTCAAGTTCAAGTTCTGAATGATTGTGTCAATTCAAGTCAAATAATATCCACCAATCTCTATTACAGGTTTTGCTAGGGTGGGTGCGATTCACAAATCAAAAAGTATTGGTGAGAGACATACAAATCCTTCTTGTATGTGTGGAAGAGTTGTGCTGTAATCGAAATTATTTTTTATGTATAGCTTATCTGATCATTCCTTCCCTTTAATGGGCATCCAGCTAGAAATATATATATATATATATATATATATATATATATATATATATATATATATATATATATATATATCCTACAAATGCTAGCATAGTCCAATGTGTTCATTGACGGCATTGTACACTAGTTTCCCAGTGTAATACATAAACCTCAGGTTTTGTTACATGGCTTTATTTAACAAAGAGCCAACTTGTATAAGAAATTTTGTTTCATGGTCAAATTATTGTTAATCTTTTATGATGTGGTTGTTTGTGTTTGTGTACTATTGTAATACATGGTCAAAGTTAAAATATTTGTAATTTCTGCGAAAGAAAAATAAATTTAAAATCTAGTTAAGGATGTAAGTTAATTGTGTGCATTCCAGCAGTAATTAACATACATGAACTAAAATGCAAGTTAGCCACAGAATAATTGAATGATTAAAGTGCATTTTCAAGGGATATTGGTATTGCTCCCTTAATCTGATTGCTTCTGAGAGAATGTTATATACAAAGAAAATACGAGTTGATAGTTCGCCAGAATAATTCAGACAATTGAATGATTAACGGTGGGTAAAATAAGAATGAAGGAATAATTTTATAGATACCCGCGTACCCGACCCACCACGCGCATATGTTGGTGTTCGGTGTTCCACTCTAGATATTATCACAATGGGGGTGGTCGTTTTTACCCAAGTTTGAGCGTCTTGCTTCACCTGACCTGGGACTAAATGGTCCTTTTCCTCCTCCTAACCGAGGACTGTGTTCCCCTCTTAGTTCGCTCACACGAGGGCTGTGTATGTGTATCTTTTCTTTTTCTGAGACGACTCCTCTTGGACTAACAGAATCCCTGCCCGGTGTGCCATTGCAGCTGCTGCTGCTGCACAAACGTCGAAGCTCACCCCTACTTCTTGTCACCATTCCATCCATAATCTCCTTATTATCTGCAAACGAACATGATCTTGAATATATCCTATCATCTGCAAACGAGACTGATCTTGAAACTATCTTATCGTCTGCAAATGACACTGATCTTGAGAACATTCGGCTTTCCTGGTCAACAAAACAAACGTATATAGAAGCAACAATGTTAAATTTCTGTTTTTTATGAGAGTTTTCACAATCATATCACAGCCAAGAAGGATATTTTCACTTAATGGACAACTTACTGATCTAGTCATGCTGAGTGGTAGCGCTGGCAACTCTTCATATTCTGAAGCATCTAATTCTTGAAGATGTGCCCCTTTGAAAAACTTGGGCAACAGGAATTGCCTTACAGGAACAAGGAGCATGATCATTAGTGGAAACAAAACCCCAGCAATGGGGATCCATGTGATCCCAAAGCAAACAAGTAAGTAAGCAGTTTGGAAAATAGTAAAAAGAGCAATTGTCTTGAAAGGCACGGATTCCACGAATGTCGCGTGATAGTCCTCCAGAACTCTACCAAAAATTAAGATAAGTTATCAGAGTGAGAAAGTGCAAGGATTAGATAGCGCTTAGCTTGTGAAATGTAAACTAATGACAAAACTTAACCCCCGCCCAGCCCATGATTACTTGTATCTTCTGCTTGGGGCTGTGCAAAGTAGTAAGATCCGCTCCCAGAATTGGTTTCCTGGCAAGCTTTCAATTGCCATGAATGCAAAATAGCCCCACAGTACTGAGGTTGGAATCATTTTGATAAGTGGCATGGCAGCAACACATCCTCCCACCATTGTTGACTGCAGCAAGTTACTCAGCCGTTGCTCTTTTACTTCTACTGGCAATAAATCATCGATATTCTTCTCGACATCGAAGACTGTCTCATCTAATGGTGCGTTAGTATTCCCATTCCCATTGTTCGACAGTGGTTGGAGGGTTGGATCTTTGACTTCTTTTAAGCCCTGTCCATAAATAATTAGTGTTAATGGAGTTATTTCTCAGAATATACTGATTATCCACCTCAATCATATCTGATCTCACCTGAGCTGATGGTTGTTGGTAATTCAGTGGAGTTTGCATGTGTTGATAGGCTTCTTGCATACGTTCATAAACTTGTGCTAAGCTCCCATTCTCGTTCATACATTTCCGTGCTGTTGCAACAAGTCGATTACGCAGCAACTGTATAAACACCAATGCACTGAGTTGCTTTATCCAACAAGCTCATATGAAATTAAAGAAGAGCCCTTATCTGACTCTCTATTAATTCCTACCTGGTGCTTCAGTGTAGCCAAACTTTTAGTATGCATTGGCGACTGTGGGATGACACCATTTGATGGCGGAATCCCAAGGAGACCACAAATCAAGACCTGCCATAGCAAAAAATTATGTGATCATCCTATATGCTTGATGCAAGAATAAATAATACTCCGTATTTAAAAAAAAAAAAAAAAAAAAAACAAAGTGAGACTGCAGCAGAGACCAGCTAGCCTTTGCTTCTTACCATGAAACCCAACAGAAGTAAATCATAATGATAGGAAGCTGGCTTCCTCAGGTTGAATTCACTTTGCTGAGCAAGTTGTGATGCCACGCTGTGATCAAAGTAATAGAGCACCGCTACCATAGTTGCTGGAATAAAAGCCCCAACTATGTAAAGAACCGGGACATTTAGCATATCCTGTTCAAGTTGAAGGTTTAGTAATAGTAGGACACAAGACACCTATGTAGAAGCAGAAATAAACTAGTATGGAAAATGTTGTTGACATGCCTTCATGACTGTCCAATTCTCATATGCACCTAATGACCATGGATTTGGGCTGAAGAGCCGCCTTGGAACTCCGTTTGGAACACTTTGACTGGGTATGTAAGAGACAGCTGTCCATATGAGAACCATCAATGGAACACCATAATCCGCAATTAATCCTCGAAGACTACCTGGAAAAGAAGCAGAGGTTGAAATTGAGGAGTTCACCGTGACTGCTAAGAGACATCAGAACTCAAAGCAGACATTCATTCAGAGACTGGTGTTAATTGTTTACCACTTGAGTTGAGTAGAAGGATGTGGAATGCAACAAGCTCACCTGATCCATATCGCCAAGATCTTGCTTTTCGGCTCCTTAGTGCAGTGAGCAGAAGACCAAAAGAAAGAACCAAAGCAAACATACCATTGGCAAACCTCCATGAAGGCTGGTACTTTGTTAAATTTGGGTTTTCTCGTTCTGGTAAGCGGAACTCATCAACAAGTCCCTATATCCACCAGATCAGAGGCCTTAATCAATAATAATATCACAGAATTTACTACTAGTACTCTATATTAAAAACAAATGAAACAGGAAGCGGAGTTATGTAGTGTTTCTCTTAATTACTTTAATTGCCTGTTGCATGAAAAGCATTGCAATTAGTAGGCCAAATAACTCTCCAGCAAGACGAGTAAACCTATTAATAATGGAAGAAGCTCCTAGGATAGCCAAAAGGAACAGCAAGATTGCACTCCAAACACAGACCCTGTGATTTAAAAGAGAATGAAAAGCAGGTGGGGTATGGTTGGGCAAGCAAACCTTCAAGTGTAATGAATTAAGCAGAGCAGAAAAAATACCAGGCAGTCCAAGCTAGAAATAGTTTTGAGCCCCCCAGATCAGGTCTATCTTTAGCGAAGTTGTACATGAATGTATACATGAGCACAGTTGGTTCCGCTACCCCAACAATTAGTAGTGGCTGGCCCCCAATGATAGAATGTATAATTCCACAAAGTGCAGTTGAAGCTAAGGTTTGAACTGCTGTGATTAGCCCATCTGTCCAAAAACAAAATGTCAACAAAAACTGCCTATGCTATACTAAACCAACCAAATTCAAGGGAACTAACATACATGATACATACCAGTATTTCTTTCCAGCTGCTCACCAAACGAGATAACTGGAATCGCAGAAGCAAAAAATATGTATGTGGTGGGGGCTAAAATCCTAAATAAAACATCAATTTTGAAAGCTATTAGTAGGGAGGGAGGGAGGGAGGGGTTTAAAAAATAAAAAGATGCGCGTACCTGAAGCCAGCCCTTAAGCCACCAGTCCAGTCTTGTTTATAGCAGAGTAGCCTCCCTTTGAGATCATTTTTGACTCCACGAAAGGGAACAAAGGTCTCTTCCATATTAGGGTTTAGGGTTGTTCACAGTGAAATGTGAATGGCTTTAATTGCTATGCTAGCAGCTAATTGCAGTGCATATAGAAGAAGTTGGATTTAGGTAGCATCCATAGTCCATAGAGAGAGGGGAGAGATGCGAGTGGCCATTGCAAGTTGAAGGCTACAAATCAAATCAAAAACACATACAATGGAGAAGCAAAACTGAAATGAAAAAAAGTGTTGCTAGTTATATATATTGGAAGACAATGGGAGTAAATCTGTTAAATGTAAAAGAAAGGAAGTAGATATAGATAGTTTGTTGTTGTGTTAAGGCCAGAACAGCATCAAGCTAAGATTGAATGATTGAATGATTGATTTCAATGATGGAATGGAGTGGAATATGTTTCCATGTATATATATAGATACGGACGACCAAGTAATGCAGCAGCTGCTCCACAAGAAGAAAATTGGGAATGAGGTCGGCGGGAGGGGATGGAAGATGGATAATAATAATAATAATAGATAGACAGAACATGAGTAGCTGGCGGCCCTGAGAGGAGAGGAAACATCTAACCAGCTTCTCCATCCATCTTTGTCCTCACACTCACTCAGACTCACAAAATATAACAATCTTCAAATATGTGGAACGCATTGTTATAAAAATTTACTAAGTAATAAGGATAACCAAAATCAAAATTAAAATTTTGATATACAAGAAATTTCATGTTGTTTTTTTTTTTTTGAGAAAATTCATTATTATATTAATAAATATTAGAGTTAATAATTGAAATGGTTATTTGATTATAGTAAAAATATTTATTATTATATTTGTCTAATTTAGTCTTCAATTATAAAATTCTAATCAATTTGATTTTCCGTTTATAAATCGAGGGTAGTTATGGAATTTCACAATGCTAGCCATTTTCTCCTGGAATCCTTGCAACTCGGCCTACACACACTTTGAATAATTGAAGTTGAGTGAACCAATGTCTGAATGAAGGTCCCTTTCACACTCCTTATTCACCTCCTACATCAGTTTCATTGAGTAAACATTCCATTCCCAGTAAGCTTTCTCCAACATGAGCGACAAAGCTTCTGCTAATGCCAGTGGATCAATTAGAAGATGTTTAATTTAGAGCCGATTTTCTATTTATATTGTCTGTATCTTCTTCCCTTGTTGCTCCGATCCATAGTCCTGTCTGATCAGCTTCATCAAGAGAGAACCAAAC